GGAGATCAGCGGGACATTAGCTACACGCTAACGCGGTAAAACAACTCCTACGTCATCGCTCTACCGCACCTGGAAAAGCTCTGTTAGCTTCGGGTTACCATGTAGCTAATGTTCTGCATATCACCAACTGTGGAGTAGTGTCGGCCCAAGCTGGGCAAGCAGCCCACTTGGCTCAGTGGCCCACCGGGACTGCCAGATAGGCCAGGCCACCCCTGCCGCAGGGGCGTGTCCAGGGAGTGGCCTGGGGTAGCACATGCTACCCTTAGAATCTGATTGGCCACCCCAGGTGCCACCACACTAAGTTCCAGTTTAAATTGACTTTACATTGTCGACAAAAGGCGTGAGTTGTAAACGCCAAAAATAGTGTGGTAGCATGCACCTTTAACATTGTTTACTAGCCCAGGCCTACAGAACATTTCTGTAGTATTAATATTATTTATTATTTTTTCATATTCCCATAAATAATATTTAGAGTCCCACTCATCTCCAGTTGGTGGCAGTAATGCAACAAGAAGTGACTTGCTAACCACCACAAAACTAGAAGATGAATAGAAAAAAAATGGTGATTGTGCAATGTGAAACTCCAAAATTCACTAGAAAGTAAATAAATACATAAACAAATTGTGTAAATAAATAAATAAGCATAACCATTGGTGCCACCCATGCATAAACAAGTGCCCCACATGGGCCACCCCATTTTAAAAGTTCTGGACACGGCTCTGCCCTGCCGGTGTCGCATAATGCCCACAAAGTGTAGCGATTACAATGGATGGGTACGTTTCCTCCGGCCGTCGAGCGTCACATGTTGGACCTCGGCTAAAGGCTGGTGAAGGTTCTCAGTCGTCCAGGTCATGGTGACCCACAAGGGTTCAAATGAAGGCAACTGGACTTCTTTGGTTTCTTGAAGAAGTTTTGTCTTCTACAGCGTTTGAGCTCGACTCTGCCACATTCCAGTCAGGATGGACAAAACTCCTGGGATGAGAAGCGAAACGTCTTCGAGAAACTGAAGAAGTCCGGTTGCCTTCATCTGAACCCTTTGGATGACCTCCGCTAAATGTTTGCTTTCACGTGCCACGCTTCCAGAATGTGTGAAGCTCAGCCATTCAGATTGGGCCAGACAGGAAGTCAAGCACAAAAGGAGTGTAAAACGTCTGGAAACTTTCAAAATAAAAGACACGCGCCCATTTCCAGTTGCTTAACCAGTAAAACTGAGTACACTATGACCTGTTAAACCTCCGTGGTCGAAGTAAACAGAACAGAAAATAATCCACAGGTTTTTCCTGATAAACGCTGTCGTCTTTCCTCTTGCTTGTTATCGCGTGAACTGCCGACATCACGCGTGGTCTTGCTATTCCCCATCCTTTTGTGAGCTCGTGGGGCCAGCGGCGTGGAGCGTTTCCTGTCTTAAACGCTCCCGGAGGGAAGAGGTAAAGCGTTTCCATCACATTGCACGTCTAGCAGAAAGCTGTGATTTAAATTTGCTTGTAAAAAAAATCATAAAGATATTTTTGCTTCATCTATTAGAATGATGATTTATGGTTTTAGACTTAAGGCGTGATTTTCTCAAACTGGTCCGAGTTTTAGACTAAAACAGATAATTAAGGTGAATTATAATTTTATTTGAATTAAATTTAATGTTATGAAATATAGAGGCTGCTACTAAAGTAAATCTGGGTTTTCTGCCCTAATAAAACCTTTAAAAACCGCGAATCCTTCATGAATTTGATCCAAAACAGCAAACGTCAGGAATTCTCTGAGAGGGCGTTTGTCAGCGGCGCTTCTGACCAGATCTATGTGAATCTTCTTCTTTGTGACGTCATTAGAGGGGTGTTTTGGCCATGATGGGATTTGTGTTATAAGTTATAAATCATTCAAGTTTGGTGAGCACCAGCAGAGTCGGTGGCTAAAAGGGAAATAAATTCTTATTCTGTGCATCTTCCCGTAACAAACTATGAAATAAAAGAAGAGAAATGAGTAATGAAGCAGAAACAAAGAACATCAAATAAAAACTCAAAGGGAAAATTAAAGATGTTTTTATTTCATTAGGACCGATGATGGTTTTAAAACAAAATAATAATAATTAAGTATAAATAGTAATTTAATAAACTTTTTATTCAAACGTCCAAAAACGTTTTACAATTTTCTTTAGTTTAGTACAAAAAAAAATCTTCTAAAATAAACAAACAATGTTGGCTTGTTTGTTAAAATGTACCGAAAGCATTCAAACAACAACAAAAATCTTTCTTTCCAATAATCGCATCCTGATCAGCCTTAATTTGGAGAAATAGGGTCCAAAGTGTGTTGCTCTATAACCATGTGATTAAATGATGGTGCATCGTTTTCCAACACAATGTTTGCATCATATTCAGAAGATTTTAGCTTTTTTAAGTGGCTGCATCCAGACGATGTTAGCTCATCAGTCCTGAAGAAATTAAAAGCTTTTTCTACAAACTGAGGCCGTTCAGGAAGCAGTCAACAATGTGTGAGATGAAAGAAATGTGTATATTTAATATTTTACAGTGAAACGCACTTTAAACGCAGGACTTCAAACACTTGGAAAACAAAGCTCTTATGTGGACAAACCCACAACATGAGCAACACCCTTTACCTGATAGGCGGCGGCTTTTACAGCTGCAAGATGCAGCACCGCTGCAACGGGTCATCCAAGAATTCGCCCTGAAACATGTTTGTCTGACTTGTTTTTAGATGCTTTTGTTATTTTTGTTGCAGAACGCGTCCTCACTCAAGGACGAGGACGGCAAATGGATCCTAACTCGTTCTTCTCTCTCTCAGGAGGTCAGCAGTGTTTAAATGATCCCTCTGCTGCAGTCGTGGACTGCTTTGCATGCGTAACCAAGGCAACAGGTAAGTGAAATCACTGATGGATGGGTTTACTTTAAATCACAGGAGCTGTGTCTTGTTCCTGCACAGTGGGTTATCCTCGAGCTGCTGCTGATTAGATTTCTGTTTGAGTCCAACTAAGTACCAAAAGGATGTGTTTACTCAGATCTCTGTTAACGGTGTGTGTGTGTGTGTGTGTGTGTGTGTGTGTGTGTGTGTGTGTGTGTGTGTGTGTGTGTGTGTGTGTGTGTGTGTGTGTGTGTGTGTGTGTGTGTGTGTGTGTGAACGGTGTTTTAAGTGTGTTACCAGGCCAGTGGCTCAATATTAAACCCTGCTGTCAGTCATTTTGATTGCTATTTAACCCACTCTCGGGGTCTTAGTCAGCACTTTGGTGTCTGCGCGCGTCCTGGCAGCACCTGAGCCCAGAGATAAGCCACGCTGATCATGTTGAGCTGTTATCCAGGTTAGAGTATTACAACATGACAGGTGGGTGAGTGACGCTGGGCAGGAAAAGAAAACAAATCGATGCAAGAGAAGAAAAAAACCTGAACTCAGTGACATCCAGCTCAGGTGAAACAGCGATTTCCCGCTGAAGTGACTCAGGCAGTGAAAATACACCCATGAGTAGGCTCCAAGTTCACTTGTTTGTCTTTTTGTGTGTGTGTGTGCAAAAGCAGGCTGCTCAGCATCTATGGCTGCATGAGAAAACTCACCTGAGTCACACCTAACTGAAAACACAACCACAGGATCAGTTTGAGGCGATCCAGTCCCAAGCTAACAAAAACACTGATGGTGGTTAAAATACTAAATCCTGTTTGGGATTAAAGGTTTTAAACACAAGATGAATGAGTGAATTAGGGAGGAAAAGGGTTTTTATGCAGAAAGTCTCAGAACTGTACGAATCTGGAGTTTTTATTTCACCGTTTATTTAGGCAAAGTCTCTAAAGTTTAAAAAATAAAAGCATGAAATAAAGATGAAAGTTTAATTTACACATTTTCCAAATCCAGTAAAAGACGCGGGTTCATGTCGAGAAACCAGCTTTCATCTGTATTTCATGCTTTTATTTGTTAAACTTTGGAGACTTTACCTAAATAAATGGAAAATAAAAACATTCTTGCAGCTTTGGGGCTTTCTGCATAAAAACCCTTTTACATGACATACACAAATAACACATACATAACTTTTTAAATCATAATTAGCATATTTTTATATTTGTGCAAAACAAAGAAATAAGAAAAAATTTAAGGCATTTTTTCCCCTATTATATACATGACTGTTGCCTCGGGTTATTTACCCTTATTGCTGAAACCAAAAAGCAAAAACAAAGAATTCCTTTAATCATAATTTAATAATGGGTCTCTCTTTATACAATCTGTAAGGATTCAGCAGAATAGCAGAAGGTTTATGAAATCTATACTTTCTGGGTTTGATTTTGCATGTTTGGTGTCAAAAACTCAACTTGGGGACATTTATGTCCCTGAAGTTAAAAACAAGTTCATGCTAATTTATTTAAATGATTTTTTACCCATAACCATCTGATCTGTGACAGAAAACCAGCCTCGCGCTGCTTGTTTCTACTCTCAGTGCTGTCTGCATCCATGGACTTGAACTAAACTGATTTGGCACGAGCCTTTTTGCGTCACGAGCACCTGACGCCAAGGCCAGGTAAGTCTCCCGCGCGTGCGTGTGAGGGGACATAATTCCTGGATAACATGTGCGCGCCTGACCCATGTGATGTGTGGTTATCGTAGGTGGACGCGTCAGTGGCGCACGAGCTGCGCACAAACTGACCCTTGCGCCTTTTTTCGCCCACCTGACCCGACCGTGACCCTTTGGACCAGAGCAGCTTTTTGTTTACCCTCTGGGTGTTTTTAAGCTTTTGTCCGTTTGATTCCTTCTCGGATGTAAACGTGAGAATCGAACTCTCGTCGGAGCACGTCACACTGTCAAGCCGTGTTTTACGCAAACTGGCGCAGAAGGGAGCAACTCGGATCATATTATGGCATTAATTATAGGACTGTGGCTGATTAGATTTCCCCAAGCACTTTAGCAGAAGCTGCGTCGCTTAGCAACAGCAGTCATGCTGCAAAGCTGCGCCGCTGGCAGATAATAAACACTAATCATACATTAGTATCACTCAAATAAAGATTTCATACACATCTGAGTGATTTCTGGTTCTGAAACAGCGAAAGAGCTCCGAGTTCAACGGAGTCAAGTGGGACTCGTGCAGGAACCCTGCAAGGTCTGAGGCGCTTTGGGCACGCGCCACAGTGAGCGGTCACTCAGACCCCCCTGCAGACGCAACTCACCAAATGAAACTTTGGTTTGAGCCTCTCTTTCTAGCAAAGACGCGCACAGAGAACAGCTCCAGTAGCTCCGCTCAGCCAGTTGCAGCGATGCAGATTAAAAATGGAGCCGTGGCGGATTGGATTACACCTAATAGGACGTTTTATTTCGCCTAACGTGTCACTTTCTGGGCGCCGTGCCCTTGTTTTCATGAGGTGCGTCCGAATTACAATTAGCCCACATTTCACACATTCCTTCTGACGCCTCCTCGCTGTTCTGTACTGACCCAGTCGTTAGGCCTGACCGTGCGCGGCGATATGTGCCAAATCTCCAAATTACGCACAACGCGTCGGTGCCAAATAACACAAAAAACTCAAGTGTGCGCAAACACTGCGTGTCCGAGCTCTTGTATCAGGATTCATGCACGGAAGGAAATCATTTTTATGCTTCTTTGTTTTTGTGTTTTAATTTTCCGCTGATAAAAAAAAACCGAAACCGGACCTGAGAGCTCCGAGGCCGGAGCTCAGCGCGAGAGGGGAGGGAATCCCTCCAGAATCTGACGCTACCTCTTTACCAAGGAAACCCACACGCGCGCTCTGACGCAACTGCCCATTTTAGGAAACATGCGTCAATGGACCGAAGAAAGTCAGACAAAAATGGCGAGCTTTAGCGCGCGCACATATGTCCCAGCTTTAAACAGCAAAACAAATGCAGACGCGTTTACTTTGCTTTCAATGCGAATCTGGATTCGTGTTGAGTCTCCGCTGTCCGCCGGGAGTGGAGCCGGTCGCGGCGGATCTCTGCGCTCGCAGCAGCAGCGACCCCTCCCCGGCTGGAAGTAGCAACGCCCAGGCGTGACGTCGGCGTTTCGTTGTCGTTGAAAAGCTGTCGCGCTTCTTCATAGTGCCATTGAAGTGAGTCATCTCTAGGAAGTGGGGTGAAAAGGGAAAGAAAAAAAGTTCGAAGTGTTCCGTGAGCAGCAGAGGTCTCGGAGTTCGAGAAGACGGGAAAGCGGCGGAAAATATTCAAACGATTCAAAACAGACTCGAGTTTTTAAAGCCAGCGATCACCTGCGTGAGTCACTCTGACTTCTGGATCCGAAGGTGCGCTGCTGACCCTAACTTCAAGTTTGCGCACCAGAGACGATCTTTACTAGTGCCGTCTGGGATCAGAACCATAAAAGCACAACGTCTTTACGCACAGGGCTGCTACAAAACACAACTCGTAACGTACATCATCATGTTTTAGGGCAGAATTGCACTTTTCCACCAATCTTTCTTATTTCTTCTTGGATATTTTAATTAAAAACGTCTGAAATCAAAGGATTTTTCTCGTTGGTGCCTTTTCGTTGCGAGGAATTTCACGATTTAAAACAGAAAAGGCTCCAGAGCTCAAGCGGTCTACGGAAACCTTCCTCCGTCCCGGATCATGTACCAGGACTACTCCGGAAACTACGACACCTCCTCCCGCGGCAGCAGCACCTCTCCGGCCCAGCCAGAGTCCTTCACAAGCGGCAGCAGCACGATCGGAAGTCCGATCTCTACCTCAAACTACCAGGTAACGCAAACATGGCTGCTCTAGGTGCGCAGCCTCTTGGGAAATGTGTTTAAATTGTGTTTCAGTGGCTCGCCACTTCCCAACATAGGGAGTTCATTTATGCTCGGATTTCACGTTGAGTTTCTGTCACACAGCTTGTTTGTGTGGCTGATGTGGAAAATGTCGCCGATGCGCGTGGAAGTGACGAAAAATGTGGATTTTACGCACCCAAATGAACCATTTATCCACAAGAATCAAACGGGTTGTTGGTCAAATGCATCCGTTTGTGTGTTTTGTTCGCAAATCTGTGCAGAAAAAAACGCAACATGAAATTCTGTGCATCTGATATCCAGATGTGAGAATGTTTCTGTCGCTCTGGTGCGTTTGCGGCACATTCGTGCTCTTTTTTCGATTGCGACCATTTTAGTCTTGCGTGCAAGGATAAACATCCTGAAGATAATTCACCCCCACACCTCACGGGCTGTACCAAGCAGGAGACGCAGCTCAGCCTGGAAGCAACAGGCGGGATCAGCCCAGACCAGCAGTGGGCTCAAACGAAAGCTGGCGGATATGTTTACGTTATTGATGCTGAAACATCCGGTCACGGGCTGGATGGATGGTCTGATTCGACCAGACAGCTCTCGGGCCGTGCATGGCACATTTCCTCCAGCGGGAAGCGCGCGCTTAGACCCACAACAGCGCCATCAAAAGCCCACACTTCCTTACTGAGGAAATGCCAGCTTGGTGAACCAAACCCTCCACTTCACAGGGAGTGTTGGAACGTGACGAGTGTTTATTCCCAAAAGTAGGATCTGAATCCGGGAACATGCCGTTTCCCCACGCCCCAGTCTTGGTACATTCTCTGGAAACGCGTCAGGCGCGCGCTGCATTACTGTAAACGACTTTTGGCCCGAACCTTCGGTTCTGTGTAATCATTCACTCAGAGCTCATGACTGCGCGCCGGAACAGGACACCCCCCATCCCGAAACAACACTTTATTACACCTGCAGGAATGCTATCACGCTCAAAGTGTTTAGGAATATTCACAACTCCCAGATCCTTCTCCAGAACGCGTTTGGGTAATTCTTCTGCTCCTCATATCCATTAACTGTCCCAGCTCGCGGCCTCCTCCTCATGATTGGAACCGAGAGAGATTCACGTGCTGAACGAATCCTGAACACAATGAGTCACCAGATAAACAAAGTTCCAGCAGACCGCCGGGATATCCGACGGAAAGTCGGGAATTACGCGCAAGGACGTGCGTACATTTGGAACGTGCGTGTGTTTGATTGTGCTCAAAACACAAAGTTTATTCATTTAATTTAGCCTCAGATCAACTATAAACCACAGTTTAACCTGACTGTTGGGAAAGTTTCACATATGTTCTTTAGAAAAGTCAAAAGTGAGCAGAAAGGTACAGATTTGGGTTGAAAGGAGAGGTTCTCCAGTCCAGGCCACTGGTTCCGGGCCTGTTGTAGTGAAATGAGATGAAGTGGACACCTTGGGCTTTCCCACATGATTCACAGCATGTGTCATTGTCCCTCTCCAGGGGTTCCAGTCCATGAGGATTGAATCGTTACTATAAAATGTGGGAAATGTGTGAATGTGGTAATGGTGGGTGGCGGTGGAGGTGACACTGCGTTTGAGCTGTGAGCTACACAGACACTAAGATGCTTATGGGATTAAATAGCGTCCTTTAGCTGCTCACCAGTTCCCCAGTTTTGGATCATTTCCCCCTCCATTGTGCATCCACGCCCCCTTTTTCCTGTTTCTCATCAGCTGCTTGTGTCTGTTCTTGCAGAAGTACAGGGTTGACATGCCCGGCTCCAACAGTGCCTTCATCCCAACGATAAATGCAATCACAACCAGCCAAGACCTGCAGTGGATGGTGCAGCCGACCGTCATCACCTCCATGTCCAACCCCTACTCCCGCTCGCATCCGTACAGCCATCACCTGACCAACGGGCCGGGGCTGCTGGCCCACAACGCCCTGGCTCGGCCCGGGGTCATCCGCTCCATCGGCGACGCCAGAGGTCGCCGCAAAAGGGACGAGCAGGTGAGAGACGCCCGAAAGTTTTCACACGGATGTCAGACGTCTTATTTAAAATAACGCCTCTGTTGTTCTGCGCAGCTCTCCCCAGAGGAAGAGGAGAAGAGACGAGTGAGGCGTGAGAGGAACAAGTTGGCCGCAGCCAAATGCCGCAACCGCCGGCGAGAGCTGACAGAAATGCTGCAAGGGGTGAGTTTAGAACCTGGAACCAGAACCTTTCTGTCTTCTACACCACGTTCAGTCATTTCCTAACAGAACGAGCTGAATTTAAGCAACACGAGGCTCAAAAGGCAGATTTGTGCTGAAAGTCTGAGCTCCACTCTTGCTTTTACAACCCGGTTTGACTCTTAAGTGCGAGGTCTGAGCGAGGAGCTGACAGGTGCTGAAAAGCTTTTTGTCTCGGCCAGCTGCAGACAGAGGTCGGGCTGTCTCACGGCTCACAGACAGCAAAGGCATCTAAATGGGCTAATTAGTGGAATTACTGTGAGGTTTGAGCTTGTCTGGTCATAAAGAACAAAAAAACTGGAACGGAATGTGCTGTAGGCAGCCGTCTGCATGAAAACAGGGTGTTTCGTGAAGGAGGACGCCGCTGGTGGAGACGCTCTGCGTCTAAGATCTCCACTTCCATCCTTCCTAACATCAAAATCCGGAAGAGGAGCAGAAATTTCAGGAGAAACTCGGCTTCAGTGTTTACTTTTCCCTGGACTGATCCCAGTCGACGCTTACGTCACACCTCTTTGCTCCTGTTGAACAACTTCCTCGTACCTTTGCCCTTGAGTCAAAGTTCGCAGACAGCACGTCGGCTTTATCTCACTTGATTGGACGACGCGCTGCAGAAGTGCATCTAATTCCTCCTCCAACACACAAACAGTCATCCGGCAAACTCGGGCTGCAGGGTGACATGCTGGGCGGGGTTAGACGCCAGCAAACCCTGCCCTCTGTGGGATCTCTGGGGAGTCGCAGACAGTCTGCTGCTCGTTTCATCAGATTTAAAAACAAAAAGTTCAAATAAAAACTGGCGGCAGCAGATTATTCATCTCATTTTTTATAAAAGTGTTGAAATCTGGAGCTAGAACGCCTCTGAAACACGCAGAATGAGTCACAGAGGAGAAAACATCTTCGATGTTCTGGAGAGCCTTCAGAACACGTCTTAGTCCGTTTATCTAAACGAGCTTTAACGCAGGAAAGCTGATGAATAAAACTCAGAAAGATTTCTTTTAAAAATGCAGAAAAGTTTAATAATCAGCCTCGTGGACGAAGAAATCGGGTTAAAAACGAATAAATGTAAAATTTCTGTATAACAAAAATGAAGATTTTCTTATTAAAACATAGAAATCACTTGTTTTATGAGACGTTACGATCTGAGGCACCATTCTAGTCTTTATATTTAAAAATCTCTTTAAAATTTCTGCATTGTTTTCGTTCTGTTTGTTTTTAATTCATCTTTATTTTCTTTTTTTGTGTTTTTTATTCCAGATTTGGCTGATTTCTAGTTTTTTACAGACTGCTCTCTTCCCGAGCGCCCCTCGAGCTCACGTGTTGTTTTTACCCAACAGGAGACGGAGAAGCTGGAGGAGGAGAAGGCGGACCTGCAGAAGGAGATCGAGAGCCTCCAGAAGGAGAAAGACAAGCTGGAGTTCATGCTGGTGGCCCACAATCCCGTGTGCAAGCTGCCCATGGATGAGCGCCACCAGCCGCAGCAGTGCGCCCCCCTGCCGCTCACCATGCGCCCCAACATGAGCTCACGGGCTCATCTGAGCCAGGTGGTGGTGAAGCAGGAGCCCGAGGACATGGAGGAGGACAAGGTGGGCAAACCTCAGCGCTCCGTCATCAAGCCCATCTGCCTGGGGGGCGGCGGCATCAGCGGCGGGATGTACTGCCCGGACGGAGATAGCCTGAACACGCCGGTGGTGGTGGCGTCCACTCCAGCTGCCACGCCGAACGCCCCCAACCTCATTTTCACCTACCCCAACATGATGGAGCCCGAGAGCCCGTCGCCCTCCTCCGAGTCCTGCTCCAAGGCTCACCGGCGCAGCAGCAGCAGCGGTGACCAGTCGTCCGACTCCCTCAACTCGCCCACGCTGCTGGCGCTTTGAGCTTTTTGGGGCAAACGCCAACACTGTGGCCGAACCCTGCCCCCCACCCCCCCACCCACCCCAGTGTCTTAGAGCACATGTTAAAGTCCAGACAGTGTGAGCCGAGGGGACGGGGACCCACAAGGGCTATGCCGCGCTCCCGCTCCTCGAAAAGACATCAACCACTTCTACTCCAGAGTGTCGACCTGTCCACCGCCGCGTCTGCAGAAAGACGGCGCCGGTGCGACCGAAGCCAGAGAACCTCCTAATATATAAAGAATATATAATAATATATATTTTTGAAAGCATGGAAGCAAAGCCATGTGGCTCAACGACACTTGCACTCTGCCGAGACCAATCGGACGGTAAACGACGGAGCGAGGCCGGCGCCGTTCCGGGATTTCCGAGGAGAGACTTTGGATGAGGCGGGAGCGCGCTTCTGCTGCGACCTCCATCATCTCGTTGTATTTATGGCCCGTGCTGGTTGTCCTCTCCTTTTTAAACCTGCCTGTAGAAAAGCAGCGTGCTCGTCTGCCGGGCGCCGCCTCCGCGTCGCTCGCCGTCGAGCCGGTCGGCGACCAGCTCCTCAGTACTTTCTGTTTTTGCCGTAGTGGCTTGAATTTACGGTAGTCTTGTGTTCTTTTCCCAAGTGATTCGACGTTTTTGTTTTTTGTTTGGACAAAGTGTACGTGATTTACATGGATGTCAGGGATTCCCTCTCCTGTGTTCAGTGGAAACTCGTCGTGACGAGTGTTTGCAGGACTGCTGGCTGTTTCAGGTGGTACTTTTTTGATTGCATTGCCTCGCTGCGTCGTCTTTTTGCTCAGACATTTCATAAAGTTTGGACAAATCCCTCCTCCTGCTTTGTTCCCTGAGCAAACTCTGTTATTTTTTTGTATTTCCCCCTGCCTCTCACAGGCAGATCAGGTTTCTAAGAGCCACAAACAGCTTTTCTACGCCGGTGTTTCATCAGTCTTTGTCTAAAACGGAGGGATTTTGGCCAAACTTGAAAACAGCCACGTTGGTCCAGACTGCCGCCAGCTGCCAAATGATGTCAACCCTGTTTCTACGGTGTTTGTAAATCTGTCACTTTTAGTAAAGAAATGATGTTTAACTTCTGCTCAGATGTGCTGATCTCTGGGTGCACGAGGTACCGACCGGATCCTAGCCAGCGCTTTTTAGACGAAGGGACGAAGAAGACTTTTTCTGCAGCTGGCCTGACGTGAAAGAGTGAACACTTTAGGGAACTTATCGGCTGTTGTTTGTATTTTTTAAGGGGGTTAAAACGAAGCGCACTGAAACAGACGGAGCAGCCATACCTGAGATTCTTTGTTTACTCGAGAGAAAGAGTCCAACTTCAGGGGTTTTTAACGGAAGCCGCCATCTTTGATTGAACCTTTTTTAAACGTTTCACGTTGCGTCGGATGCAGAAACCACATTGTGCAAGCTGCTGATACTTGTTTAAAAGGAACAGGTGGGCTGTTTTTGATTTGACGTGACTCCGTGTTTAATATTGTGACACGTCGAGGGGAGCCGTTATTCCAGCGTTGAGAGATGGGAGGAAAACCAAAACCATCTGTTTGTCGGAGCGTTTTAACGCCCCTGGACGCTCGTAGAAAAGCCGTCGACGGTAGATCATCTACCGTACGTGTCATCAGCCGTCTGTCGCCCGTTCAGCTACTGTTTCTTCTTTTTCCCAAATGCTTTACCTGTTTAAAATGATTCAAAACGAATAAAAACAGCAATATGTATAGCAGTGTTTGTTAATTTAAAAACAGTAATAATAAAATAATTTTCAAGTTGGAGAAAGTATTTTTTGTTTTTATTGTTCTAAAAAATCACAAAGAAAGTTTAATTTTATTTTATTGTTGATGATTTTTTTCTACACTGTAAAACATTTTGTGTTTCTGTTCATTTATCTTCAGAACTTCAGAGCTTTATTAACAAATGATAGATGGAAACATTATTTTAAATATGTTCAGGTCTAGAAAAAAAAGAACATTTGATTTTTTTGTATTAAATGATAAACTAATAAACTTGAAGGTAAAATGAGCAAATAAAAAATCAGTTTGAGTCGCTCCTGCTTCACCTGATATTAGAGAAGCAAAAGGATGCTGTGGCTTCTCGGGGTACGAGAAAAAGCTTCTGGGTCGCTCCTGTTTGCTGGCTTTGGTTCTCTACAAAACACTGGCCGGTGTTGAATTACAAATGTCGGCCCAGCAGCGTCAGCCGGCGCAGCAGCGTCAGCCGGCGCAGCAGCGTTCGTTAGCCGGCCCAGCAGCGTTAGCTGGCCCAGCAGCGTTAGCCAGCGCAGCAGCGTTCGTTAGCTGGCCCAGCAGCGTTAGCCAGCGCAGCAGCGTTCGTTAGCCAGCCCAGCAGCGTTCGTTAGCCAGTCCAGCAGCGTTGGCCAGCCCAGCAGCGTTAGCTAGCGCAGCAGCGTTAGCCGGCACCAACCCAGCAACCCCACAGGTTGTAAACAAAGACCTTCTTTGGCTTTTTAAAAAGGAGAAAAACTCTCGCAGCCGGCAGAGAGTGAAATGTGCAACCATGACTGAGACTTTAGACTGTTTTGTTTTTTAGGGAGGCAACGATACCACTTTTTTCCAAACCGATACCGATACTTGGATCTGAATATTCGCCGATACCGATTACCGATACCGATACTTCTACCACACAAAAAAATGCAATGATTTGGAATACAGATTTTATTTTCTTCTCTGCTTTCAACAGGAAAAGACTGTAAGGTAGATAAAAAGTAAAATATAGAAATCATCACAAAACTAAAATATTAGGTGAACAGAAATGACAAGTTACAGTGAAGCCATTTTCAAGCAGCTGCATTGGTATCGGCTCCTGGAATCGGTTAACTTTTACCGATACCAGTATCGGTATCGGTGCATCCCTAGATTATTTCACTGTAACATTCTCACACATTGTACCTTTAAAGTGGAGACGGAGCTGAAATATTGAACTAATCAATATATTTGAGCTATCATGAAATCCAAAATAAAATGTCCAGAAACAATCAGCTGTTTATTTTAAAATAAATCTACAAAAGCGTTTTGTTTTTAAGAGTATTGTAATGCTTTATATTTTTAGAAAAACTTGCAGAACTAGAGTTTTTGTGGCGTAACAGACCCAAATCCAAGTAGACCTCTGGAAAAAAGAAAATAAAAATGTTTATTTTATTCCTTTATTTACTTTGAACAAAACAAAAAATCCTCAGACTAAACATTGAATTATTCAACTAAATAAACGTATTTAGGTGTGCCCAGCATCTATAACATAACTCAGAACAGCGGAGGTCCATCTGAGAACTCCAGACGAGTGATTCAGGTGTGATGATTGGCAAACTAGAGGCAGGTGTTCAGGGAGAGGAGAACATGACTAACAGCAGCAAGCTGGAAAACAGCAGAACACGGCGAGAAATAATCCTCAGATTTCTGTTTTTATCTGTATAAAAGTTTTAACACTACTGGCGCTGAAGACTTTTACACATCAAGGTAAGAACCATTTTTATTTAAATCGCCTCACAAAAATATAATTTTGTTGCTTTATTGTGAAAGTGTTTAATGTCTGTGTACATTTAATTTGGACTTGTAGTGAAATGTATGCGTTTTTAGTCACATAATGAACTTATTTCAACACCTTAAAATCCTTCAACATTAACTAATTGGGCTAAATGATGCTGCTGAAGTTAATTTAGACTTTTTTTTTAACTTTTCTCATTAATCACAAGTAGAATAAATGTTATAGTCCTGGCAAAATACTAAAAAATGACCAGAAATGATGACTTTGCTGTTGGAGAGGCTGAGAATTTGTGTTCAAACGACGCGCTTCTGCCGCCCCCGTGTGGCCACGCTTGTGCATTACATCTGAATGTGAGCAGATCAAGCCTGAAGTGCAGAAACCTCCTTTTTCTTTTAATCCCACCTGCTTGTTACTCATCAGATTAGATTAGATCGGTAACCTTTATTCCAGACAGAAACGTTCTCTCTTTAAGGCATTAAAGCAAACAGACTGCTGGAATGCTTGACTCAGTGTGACAGGAGGTCACAGCTGGATAAACTCAGAGCCTCGAAGTGCTGATTTAAATATTTAGTTAAATTGAAGCCAGTTGCCTTTTACCTGCTGCTGCAGACTAAATGTTCTTCAGCTGCAGATGTCGGAGCCTCTGCAGCAAGTCTGTTTGAATTTTGTGCTGGTGAGTTTTATTTTCGTAGAACACATGAGCTGTTGTTCAAAACCTGATTGAAGGACTTTTAATGAAAGTTAATTTCAGCAGTATGTGGGAGTTTATTCTTTATTCTTGGGCACAAAATTACAAACAAAAACAACAGCAGTGATGCATCTTAATAAAACATGTTTAATTTTGCTCTTCCATAAAGAACAGAAGACTTAAACTGAGTCCAAAAGAAGCATTTCTAAGTAATTCTGACCCAACGCGAGACTTGGATGAGCGTGGTTTACACACAGCTGAAAACATTTACAGTGGGGCAAAAAGTATTTAGTCAGCCACCGATTGTGCAAGTTCTCCCCCTTAAAATGATGACCGAGGTCAGTAATTTACATCATAGGTACACTTCAACTGTGAGAGACAGAATGTGGAAAAAAAACAATCCATGAATTCACATGGCAGGATTTTTAAAGAATTTATTTGTAAATCAGGGTGGAAAATAAGTATTTGGTCAATAAATATTGTGTGTGTGTGTGTGTGTGTGTGTGTGTGTGTGTGTGTGTGTGTGTGTGTGTGTGTGTGTGTGTGTGTGTGGGGGGGGGCAGATGGGGAGGGTTGGGATACATGAGGGCTAAAACCACTCCGTTTCAGGGAAGCTCATGTTGAAATATTTGGAAGTGAGGAATATTTAAAAAAAAAGCATTTTAGAGCAGAACGACACGCCGGAGGCCTGCAGATGGACCCAGAGAGACTTGATGCATGAAATCTGCAGCAAGTAGAAAACAGAAAAACCCTCAAAGCTGAGATGGAACAGCTGATAGTTGGTGGATGCGAGGAGCCTTGAAGGCACAAACCCACTAAAGAAAATGATGTTTAGTTTCTAGCGGCTGCTGGCAGAAACAGATCAGGCTTTTAAACTAACATCAGAATAAACTGTTGCATGAGTCAGATTTATCCAAACTCTTACCTTTTAATAAACTCTCCAGGTAATTAACTGTAAAACCTTTAATGGTGAAAGTCAAACGTTCTAGAGAGTAAAAAATTAACTAAATATTTATAACAGAATCTGCAAAATGGCACCAAAACAAAATCTAGAAAAGGACAAGTTCAATGTGAGTTTATGTTCATTACTGTAAAACAGTCACAAAGAGGTTGGATTCAAAGCGTTTAAACCATTAGACATCTAACGACATCGGGGTCTTTAACATGAAACGAGTTCTTTTCACAATAAAAGCTGACAGGAAGTGTGTGCTACACTGCAGGACTGTGGCACAGCGGGCAGTAGCTGTATCTGCTGATCTCCCGCTCCAGGGCGCAGTGTTTGCACACGCTGCACATCCAAAACTGGTGCTCGCGGATCGGCACGCCCGTCACAATGCACGTGGGAACTTTTCCCTCGGACCTGGAAGAAGAAAAAGCAGCAGTTTGGAAATCCTGTCAAAGGATGTCATCTCCATACTTCACACTGACTGTTGGGATTTCCTGTCGTGTTTCTCACCCCTCTGCGCTGTCCTCCCTCACAACCCGGTTGTCCCTCGGAGGGTGTTTCATGAAGATCTCCAGAGCCAGGTCCTCGTAGAGCTGCCGCTGCTCCAGGCTCAGGCTCTCCAGGGACTCCAGCTTGATGAAGGCTTTGGAACACGTCCCGAAGGCCCGGCTGGCTGCAGAGCAGAGGGCGAGCAGGGAGTAGATCTCCACTGCGGGGATGATGTCCTCATATTCACGCAGGTGGAGAGCTGGGGGATTGAAACCAGAGTTAACTCAGGCTTTAGCCAACCGACCAATCCGAAGATCGGCTCAGCTGAGTCAACATCTCTGCAGAAGATGGTGGTGACGTACCCGTGCGCACGGCGTTCTCCGTCTGCCCCGAGTACAGCTGCCTCTGAGCAAGCAGGAAGAAGTGGTAGGCTTCTGCTCCACGCCAGGCGCTGTCAATAATACGGTTGTCTGAAGAGGTGGCGTCTTCTTCCAGGAGGCCAGCGATGGCGTACGTTGCCTAGTCACACAAAATGCTGCGCGGGTTATCGAGCCACTCTCTTAAGCATTCGTTCTCTTTCTGTTTGGCGTGTTTGAGTAAAGTGATTTGCAGCGAATCACCTCCGACTTCCCTCCTTTGACTTTGCTCTGCTGTGACGTCTTCACCTTCTCGTGGAAGTTCTCCACCAGCTGCGCTGCCAGCACATACAGCTTCTTCACCTTCAGAGGTTGGCTCTTCTTCTTCCCCTCTTCTGCGATCTGCAGAGGGAAGCCAAAAGCCCAACAACAAGTTTGAGTCTGTTTGAATCCATTTCAATCTTATTTGGAAGCTAATTCTGTTGAAGAGGAGTCTTCAGAAGAACATTGATGCCCGTTTATTCGTTTTTAAAGGTCCAGAATGAACGAGCTGACGGTGACACGTGAGGGAAGCCGAACTCTGAGATCATCTGACACCATAAATCTTAAGAATAAACAAAAACTGTCTGAACTCGGGTTACATCACAAAAAATCTCATTTACAGTGATCCCTCGCTACTTCGCGGTTCGTTTAGCGCGGATTCACGACTTCGCAGATTTTTTCTTTGGAGCCTTATTCAAGGGAAATTCGCTGATTTGCGGTATTTTTCTATGCGAAATATCAAGAAATTCCTGTTTTTTCATCAATTTCATCATAAAATGCACTTTTTGTAATAAAACTGTAAAAAAACCAAGTAAAAAAAATTTTTTTCTTGAGTTTTACCCACAAAAAGAGAATGTGATCATACGATAATTCAATATAGTACTGTACTGTAAATATGGTGTCCCTACTTCGCGGATTTTCACTTATCGCGGCCAGGTCTGGAACGCATCTACCGCGATAAACGAGGGATCACCTGTATTTCAGAAGTTTAAAAATAGTGGAAAAGCGGAGCTGAGCTCACTTTGAACATGAGTTTGGCTGCATCCAGGAAGTGGTGGGCTTTCCGATACAGCTCCACCGCCTCCAGGGTTTTGTTGTTCTCCAGGAGATGGGAGGCATATTTGGAAAGGAGGGATTTGATCTCCTTCATGTTGTGGGTTCTTGCTAGTTCCACGGCTCGGTTCCACTGAGAGGAAATAAAATAAATGCATCAACTTTTGTTTGGATAAAAAAAAACAGCATTAATGCAGCAGAAGGGTAAAATGAATGCTGTTAACATTAAAGAGCAAGTCACCCCCTACCAGAGTATTGCTCCTCTCCCACTTCCTGTTTGAAAAATGCAACAAATGCTGTTGCCTGGCAGACCGAGAGGGCGGAGCCGCTAACAAATACACACACGACATTGTGACATCATACGGTACCAGCTAACGTTCTAGGGTACCTCTTAGCCAATAGCGATGGCAGATTTAAATTCAAATGCAGTGCAGAGTTTTTACCTGACGACGGCACAACACTGACAGTTTTAGGCAGAAAAAAAATTTGAACAAAGATGCACTGAAGCGCCAAATTATTGACGACACGTGTCTGCAGCACGATTAGACACACATTTCTATAGTTTATCAGGAAAAAAAGTTGATTTGGGGGTGACTTGCTCTTGGAAATGAATGCTGCTGGCATTAAAGGTAGAAAGATGGCACCGAGATGTGAATAAAGATGTTTTCTCTCCTTGAACCTAATTTTCTGTTGGATGTTTTTATCAGCGGTGGTCTCCATCAGTGGGAGGACCGGAGGTGCCGCTTCCACACGTCCGGCGCCACAGGTTCTGTCCGTCTCTCACCTGGTTCAGATGGACACACGTGTCGACAGCAGCTTTTGGCTGGTTGCACTTCAGGTAGGCGTTCACGGCCTGCTCACACATCCCCACGTTGGTAAACATCTGCCCAATGGCCTGCAGCGAGCACACGGACAGTGACGGACGCTGCTGGATTCAGAGGAAATGATCCAGATTTGGAAATGTGACTCACCGGTAACAGTTTATTATTCTCTGGCAGATCTGAGGTCAGCTTTTCAAGGCCACCATAATCCTCCAGCATGTAGTAACACTCGGCGAGCTTTTCGTGGTGACGGCCCTGGAGGTAGTACTGCAGCGCGTCGACCCTTCAAGCAGAGGAAACGGGTCCTTTAGCTCTCCACTTGTTTTTATCTGATCCTACAAACATTAAGTTCTCTAAATAATAAAAACGTTTAGTTCAGGGCACTCATTCAGCTGCAGTTCTGATCTTCTAAAGCAGCTGTTGTGGTTTTATCAAGTCTGAACAACCTCAGTTGGGAGAAACGGAGATTTTGACGGGTTTGACCTGTCTGACCTCAAGTGTTTTTCACTGTTGTCCTCTTAAAAATGAAAGGTATGGCGGAGGATGTTTCTGTATTTCAGTAAAACAAACCCGCCATCACCACGTTTAAAAAAAGTGCATGAGTGAGAACACCCAGTTATCCTCGTGCACGCTCTGTTCACAAGTAGCTGCCGGCCTTGCAGCTAACTTCTAGCAGTAATCTGAAATGAATCTCTCCAAATAGCACGCTGAACTTTAGCTTACCAGCGACAGCGGCGTCTCTGGGGAGCCCAGCCTTGGCTCAGCACAGGAAGTGGAAACTCCCCGCAACGTGACGACGGCCTTGAGTGAAAGGTTCACCAGAATGACTGGTAGTTATGTGGACCACTGGTTCGGATGATCCACCCGGAAGAAAACGATCCTCCGCTATACCTTTGATGTCATTTTAAACTTGATATTGCATTTTATAAAATATATTTACAGCGGAAATTAGCTGCTGAGCTAGCTAACGTAGCGCTGGAATTTCAGAATCCTGCTGGAAAAGCCATGAAATAAAACATTTATAACAATGTGTGAAGAAACTTGGACTGTCATCGTCCTCAGGTGCTCTGTAACCATGGCTACGGTTTGGTCCCATTAAAGGTTTCTCTAAACCGAGGTCATTGAAGGACGCGTTGGAACAGAAACCATGCTTCCAGGTTGGAGACATTAAACTGTAAAGTACTTTTTAACTTGAACTGGATTTTTCTGGAAACAAACAAACGTAGCACAGCTTGTAATGTTCTGTATGGATACAACATCTGCTGTACGTAAATAAATCAGAGGAAAACCTAGAAACACCATTTCTGTCGGTCAGAAAAGTAGTCTCCGATGCCGATGTAAGCCTGCTGGAGCAGAGCGTCGTCGCCGGCTCCAGACCCGCTCTTGAGCAGCTGCAGCACCTTGAACCAGTCTCCCAGCTTGATCCTCAGGTTGATGGCGAGGTCTCTGAGAAACAGACACGGGGTCTCGTGAAGACCTAACCTCACCGGTTCAGCAGTAATGACACTGAGGAGGCTGTACCTGCGATCCATATCCAGGTACATGCGCTCCGCTTCCTCAAACCTGCCGAAGTAGGCCGCCACTTCGGCTTGCTTCATGGGCTCGCTCTGCAGGTTCCCCAGGCGCTTGACAAACAAGATGCCCGGGTAGTCCTTGCAGTGGACAAAGGCCTCCTCAGCTGTCTTCAGGTCCAGTTTCTGGAGGGCTGCTTCAGCCAGGAGACGCCTAGCAGGAAACGGAGTTAAGCTGCTGCTGCTGCTGGTGACGGCTTTACGCTCAGATTTAAGCCCGGTCTGAAATTTGAGCTCAGACGGAAGTAAAGTGGCTCCAGCTTGACTTTAAAGAGCAAGTCAACCCCTACCAGATTCTAACTCCACTCCCACTTCATGTTTGAAAAATGCAACAAATGCTGTTGCCTGGCAGACCGAGGGGGCGGAGCTGCTAACAAATACACACACATACAGGCATTGTGACATCATAATCTACCAGTTTACATCATAGCATACCTCTTAGCCAATAGCGGTGGCAGATTTAAATTAGAATACAATGCAGAGTTTTTACCTGACAACGGCACAACACTGCCAGTTTTAGGCAGAATATTTAAATTTTAACTAAGATGCACCGAAGTGCCAAATTATTGATGGCACGTGTCTGCAGCACGATTAGACACTCGTTTCTTTAGTTTATCAGCAAAAAAAAGGTTATTTGGGGTGACTTGCTCTTTAAAGAGCAAGTCACCCCCTACAAGAAACTTACTTCACTCCCACTTCATGTTTGAAAAATGCAACAAATGCTGTTGCCTGGCAGACCGAGAGGGCGGAGCTGCTAACAAATACACACACACAGGCTCACGACAGCATTGTGACATCATAAGGTACCAGTTTACATCATAGCATACCTCTTAGCCAATAGCGGTGGCAGATTTAAATTAGAATACAGTGCAGAGTTTTTACCTGACAACGGCACAACACTGCCAGTTTTAGGCAGAATATTTAAATTTGAACTAAGATGCACTGAAGTGCCAAATTATTGACGACACGTGTCTGCAGCACGATTAGACACTCGTTTATTTAGTTTATCAGCAAAAAAAAGTTTATTTGGGGGTGACTTGCTCTTTAAATGAACATTTTAACCTCGTTTAAACAGAAATGTTTGTTGATGCAACAAAACGGGATCCTATAGCACCAGAAACCCTTCACGGTAAAAGTGACACTAAGCTGCAAGTCCTGGAGGGACTAACTCTGGAGAAGATCCCAACAGGAGAAGCAGACGAAAAACGAAGACATCAAAGTGTCACATTTTACATTTACCAGAGTCTTGGATGAGGATTGTCCTCGATAAATTGTGAAGCGTCTTCGATGCCAACTTTCTCTATCAGAGCGCGGCTGTCTCTCAGGGAGCGGATCTCGAAGTTTATGAGGTTGTCTTTGTTCGGCCTCTCGGGGTCCTGCAGGGGAACATCCCATAATGTGTGACTCCGTCAGATGCTGGAGCCTTCACTGTAGAAAGTTCTAGAAGAGCTTTTTGAACATTTTCACGGAGTTACGGTGAAATGTAAAAGGCATGAGGGTAATGAAAAAGCTGACCACGCTTCAGCCTGAAGGGCTTCTGTCGTACCTTCATGATTTCATCAAGCAGGACCGATTTGATTTCCAGGTCCTCGAAGCTGCAGATGTATCCAGATGTTTGAATCGGCTCCTGTTGTTAAAAGATGGCTGTAAGCGAGAGATGTCACTGCCAATGAAACACTTGAGTCTCTACCTCTGGGTCCAGGTTCCTGAAGACGTACATCCTGGTCTTCTCCATCATGGCGAACAAATCTGGATTATCGTTTGCCCACTTCATGTCCCAAACATCTTTACGCTCGAATCTGGATGGGTCTCCTGCACCCACTTGGCTCCCGTCGTCCGTGATGGAGCGAGCTTCCAAGTCCAGCAAAGTCATCACCCCCGAGATGTCGATTACGGCCAGGCGGCTGACGTAAGAATTGGATCATTACTGATTATTCAGAGGATCTGTGGCCACACCGCGTCCTAGCCAGGGCCTACCTGGAGTTGCAGTTCAGAGACAGATGAAAGGCTCGGTTGTTTAAGGAGAATTTCTGGATGAGGGAGACGTTTGGGAGGCTGTATGTGAGAACGGAGCCGGACTCCCGAGCCTGTAGACACACATGGACTGACTCAGCTAAAGCTCACAGAACCGTCGTCAGGCACGGGACGCAAACCAAGCAGCACAACTCACCACGATCAGGGTCTTATCTGTCGCTGTGATGCTACAGATGGGATCACGAGTTGGCTGAAATGAAACAAAACATCATTCTTATACCTTCTAATCGGTCGCTTTAACCTTTTTTCTGCAATAAAGTGGAATTTTCTTAAATTCATTCATGTTCAATTATAGGAAAATTTTATCAGCATTATTGAAATGAGCTAAAAATACTATTAAAATAATCTTGAATTGCTTCTAATGCACATTTTCTTTAGACTTGGATGCTTGTAAGACAGGAAATGAAAAAACTTCTTACTGTGAAGGATTTGGACGGATGTGTGCAGCCGTCACTGGCTCCAGAGGGGTTGCTGTCGATGTGGTAGAACCTGGACAGACAGGAAGTGGGAGCGTGTGAGTCTGAGGCAGATGACCTGCGTGACCTGTGGTCCAGGTGTGAGGAAAACCCTGGCAGCACATTAAGTCACACCCAGCCTGTCTGGAACCTCGGTGAATGAATGAATCCTTTTCTCTGCTCCGTCACGACCAACACTTGACACTGTGATGGCGAGCCAGTAAAGCTAAGGTCTCACACCAAGGTGCTCCTGGTTTCCCGTAAGTTCTCAACCATCTGTGGATGGGAATCCTGACGATGCTTCAGTAAGCATCTTGGTGTCTTTCAGCTTCTGATTAAAACAAACCGAGCAGAACCTTCATCATCCGGTTAAATGTGTCACAGCACTCGCCTCTCCCGCCCCTCCTTCTTCGTTTTGGTCACTTGGTTGATCTCCAGCGCGGTCAGTTTCTTTGCCACTCGGTACTGCCACAAGTAGAAAACATCTTTGGATGCAGCGATGACGTGCGTCTTCGTCAAGGTAACGAACATCGGATCTGAAGGTTTAGATCAGAAATAGAAATACTCTGAGCGTTACTGGAAGACTCTGCTGCAGCTCTACGACAACAGATGTCCTTTTTAGACCTTTACTCTTTAACTTACTTGTATGAAAATGATTCTGTGTTCTCTGTAAGAGAACTTGATGGACGTATGACATCATCATCGTACCAAATCAGAACTTTGACCACTTCAGCGCCATTTAAAGGGACTTTACGGAGTCTTGAATTTTTATGCTCGCGATTGCCCCCCTCAGGCCAAAAGTGTAACGGCAGCTTCAATAGTAGGCTCGTGCACGAGGACAGGAGAACGCGCAGTACCTTTCTCTTCAGCACAGCCGACAAAGGTTTATGATGGGTCAGTCCTCCTGCATGCTCAGATCATTCCCTTCTCTTGCTTGAAAAATTGTTCCAAAATGAAAGTTGAACCCACATCTTTTTTATCTGTGAATTCAATGCCGTTCGACGAGTCTCAAATAAAAATTTGGGCATCTTACTGTAAAAAATATACCATTAATGTAAAAAAGAAACTCTAAATAAACAATGTTCACATCCAGAATCAAACCCAGGTCTTCTGCATGAGAGTCAGACGTCTTACTAGGTGAGCTAAAGCGCCAGTGACGTCCTTTGCATCTGTAGCATTTATATCCTTGATGACAGCTGAAACAACGCTCAAACCAAAGAACGGTTCGGAGTGAAAATGGCTATTTTGTTGCTAATTAGCAGGAAATATCTAGAAGAAAGTTCTACAGAAAGTAGCTAAGGGTCCTCAGAAATGTAGCTAGCTTTGTCACTAGGCGTTAGGAACAGCGACAAAGTGGCACTGCCTCTCTCTCTGCTGCTAAAGCTACGGATAGCAAATGCTACGGGCGATGCCTGAGCGTGAACGCGCATGAAGCAGCCTGCTCGAGCCGAGCATCTCTCTTTTTCTGTGATTTTACAGAAAAGCAGGCAATCACAGTAAAAATGCCAGGGCTCATTCTACAGGACCAGGGCGTTGCAGGAGAACGTATGAAGAAGACATTTATTATTTCTATACATGTTTTGGCTGTCACACTTCCATAACGATCTTTAAAGACTCTGTTCACCTCCGCGGCAGCAAGGCACACATGAATCTGTTGCGGTTCTCACAACTCACCGATGTCGATGTATTTGGAGTCCAGAGGCGTTCCAATGGAGTTGCACAGAATCAGGACGTACTGAAAGACGAACATCCGTTATATTTTCCTACAACCCAGTGCGTGAAAAATGAAGATGTTTATAAGTAAACCTTACTTTCGCCGGACACACAGCTTCCAACTCAGCATCCTCCTGCATAACGGCAAATTAAAGACGCAAATTCTGTTTATTTTTCCATTAAGTTTAGAAAAAAACCCCTAAAAAGAAGCAGAAAAGTCCCAAAATGTCCGTTGAAATGTTTCCCTACCTGAGGCAGGGTTTCGTCCCCTTTGCTTGCCAGGATGCAGAAATCTCCAGAAGTGGTGATGGACATCAAGCTCTTGACATATTTAACAAACTTTTCGTTGTTTTTGGTGTCCCAGAACACGACGCAATGCTCCTGCCGCTCGGGTTTGGTGTAGGCGTACACCACCGTGCTGCAGCAGTAGCCCCACTGGTAAAGCAGGGAGGACCGGAGACTAGTTAAACCTCGTTAACCTCACACCAACGAGGTCCGAGCGGAGATGAAGCCTTTGGGTTGTGATTTATATCCATAAGCATCGTGGTTAATAAAACCTAACACAAACTCTTAGTTAAGGTAAACAAAGGCGTTTATTTTCAACACTTGTTTGTTTACTGAAGCGTGTGACTGATGAGTGTTTACCTTATAATCTGGTCTTATGTTGGCAAAGTAAATGTAGGAATCCACAGCCAGACCGATTCGCAGGCCGCCTCCCTCCCAGGCGATCCCCCACATCTGCTTCCCAGAAACTTTGAGAGTTCGTAGATGCTGTTTCATGACGATGATAATAAAAATCTGATGTGTGAATATTTATAAACAAGAAAAGGATCTGCAGCAGCAGCAGGAGAAAAATCTGCACCCTCACCTCTCCGAACGGTGTGTAGAACTGCACCACGTTAAACTCTTTCTCCATGTTTGCGGTTCTGAGGGAACCTGCCACCGCCAGCACACTGCCACAGTGGTTCCACTGGATGCTGACCACATTCATCGAGCTATCGATGCACACTGGGTCTGCAGGAGAGTGACGAGCATTTCTTAACAAACATTAGCACCAAAGGACAGGAAGTGCTCTCATCTTTGGTTCCTCACTCTCATCGTTCTCGTAGCGCATAATCTGACATTTTCCGTTGTCAAAACAGATGGCGAGACAGGGACAGTTGGGTTCGACGTAACCTCCGGTTCCAGCGTACCAGTGGATACCAGCTATACTGACGGCTCCGCTTGCACTGGCGAGACAACCGATGGTCATTTTCATCTGAAACAACACAGAAACACAAATATTCCATCTGGAACATAGGAAATGTTAAAAGCCAGTCGTGTATGGTGTGAAACTACACCGCCTCCACCAACGGGCTTGGTTCTGCACTGCACAAAGACTGCTTCAGTCTGGGTGTTTGCACATGGATCCGTGCAACAACCCTTAAGGTTATACACTCACTATAAAGTTTCCTTGGTTGTCATAAATGTGAACCTCCCCGTTGGCCATGCCAAAGAGGAGGATCCTGCTGTCTGGTGACCACGCCACATGAGCAAGCTGATTTCCCTTCAGCTCCTTTCCCCAAATTCGGTTTCCTGCAAGCAAAAGGTCATCAACTTACTCAGTTCACATTACAATTATTATTTATTACTATTTTCAAGTATCCATACCGTCTACTGATCCAACAATGACTGCCCCGTCCTCGTACACAATGCAGATCTTCTGACCATCAGCGTTCCAGCTCATACTTCTCACCACAGATTTGTTCCTGTTGTTGATCATCTCCTCGCACCACGAACCTCAAAACGGGACAAAGACTTGCTGCTAAACTAAACAAGGTCACTGGACAAAAAGGAGTGCTTTAAGTTTGACTAGAGCCCTAACCTTTATAGAGCATCCAAACAATTATGAGTCCATTCTGGTCGCTGGTTGTCAGCTTCTCGTACTGCTCGTTCCACGTCACCACCTGCACTGCACCTGCACGTGTTTAAAATCATGAGTGGGACAAAAGTACTTTTTAGAAATTTTAGACACGCAGAGATTCAGAAAATACTTTAAAAAAGTAAACTTGTCAAAAATGATTCACATGGTGCGGCTGAGACTCACCACTGTGTCCCTCTAAGGTCTGGTTCATGGACAGGTTACTTGGTGCAGCAAGACCTTTAAGTCTGGCGTCATCTGAAACATCGTACAGGTTTTATTGGTTAACCTGAGTGGTGTCGTTTCCACCCTGAAGAGGGTTGCAATGGCCAAAGTTGAGCCAGATCAGATTTACTTCAAACTGCTAAATTCCTTCAGATCTAATTCGTGGATGTATCGCATACCTCGGACTGCTGCAAATGCTCTCTGAACAGCAAAGGATTATTACAACCTCTGGTTAATATTTGTGGTTTCAGGAATGAAATATATGAGTTAATGTGGCCGGAGTGGGGCTGCCTGTAGATGTGCCTGATTTTTTTAAATCGGTACTACTAAAGAGGTATGCCAGCTGATGCTGATATACAAAATGGTAGATAAAGAACTAAAACATAATGTTAAATACTAGGGATGCAACAATACCGCTTTTGTCCAAACCAATACGATACCAATACTTGGATCTGAGTACTCGCCGATACAGATTACCGATACGTCTACCACACAAAAAAAGGCAATGAATTGGAATATAGGTTTTGTTTTCTTCTCTGCTTTCAACAGGATAAGACTGTGGTAGATAATTTCTACTAATATATTTTTTTTTTCATCACAAAAATGAAATATTAGGTGAACAGAAATGACAAGTTACAATGAAGCCACTCTCAGGCAACTGCATTGGTATTGGTTCCTGGTGTTGGTTAACTTTTACCGATTCCTAGTAAATACCAACCCGATATCTCAGCCAGCTGGTAAATTCTGACCAAAAGCACTTGAATGACCTCTTTTATTAGGGAATGTTGATCATTTGGTGATCAGAAAAGCAAGAAAACCTAAATCTGGCTTGAAGTTTTCCACCTTTTACCTGTCTGAGATTCAAGCTTGAGTACCCTCAGAAGACCATCATCCCCTCCACATGCAATGAAGCCTTGGTCCTTGTTCCAGGAGACGCATTTTAGAGGGATGCTGTTGGGAATAGCGATCTGTAATAACACAGGTAAAAATCTCATCAAGGCTGTTAGCAACTCCATTCATATTGATCTGAAGTTGGACTGCTCACCTTTTTGCTGAGATAAATGAACATAGCGACGGCGGGTTGCTGCTGACAGCCTTTGTTTAAAACCGTACTTGTTAGCTCACAAAGCTAACGAGGAAATTTGAACGAACTTCTAAAAGACGCTACATCACGCACGGCTAACATTTACGTTAGCCTAGCTTAGCTCGGAGACCGTTATTTACCGAAAATAACGCACTCATGCATTTTTACGCTTAGAATTAAAATAATAAGAGTCGATAAAACAAACAATAATTGTAACAGTGAGGTTAAACTGTTGAAATGGGACGTTTCACTGCCTATAATGCTATACTTGTATGTAAACTACTGCCTTGGTCGCTCTCCGTCTCCCATGGTAACCGTAAACCGGAAGTGTTGGTTGCATCTTCTGGTAGTTGTAGTTTTTCTTGGTAGTTCCGCCGAAAAGCGCTTGTTCAGCCCAAAAGTTGATAATTTGTTTTTTGTTGGACCATTGTAGCGGTCACACTTTATAGCGTGACGACTGCAAATCAATTATGACCAATAAGATGCGATGATTCCATATAAATATGAAATATCAATCTGATTGATCTTTGATTGTTTAATCAGAAGATTTTTACTTGTTCAGGGACCATGAACACACTTCGTACTCATTCAGACAGTCAGGTATATAGTTACAAAGGAACTTTATTCTTTTCTAAACTAATGAGTATACATGACAAGATGAGATGTGATGGAGTGGATATGTGGTGATGGAATGTGATGTGTAGGTGGTGTGATGTAAGCTAGATGTTTATCAGAATCTTATCTGAAATAAATTGTGAAATCTGGGTGTAAAATAATTGTCTGCTATAATCTAAAGAGTTGATTATTAATAAAACGGCATCAGACGCAATCTGTTGTGTCTACAAACCCTGGCGGAGACCCATGGGCGTCGCACCCGTGGGGGATGTGGGGGATTCAACACCCACACTTTTCCAGCTGTTTTGCTCACCTTCACACCAGTCTGGTTTCTTTACGTCGCACTCACTCTGTTTGCCTCATCTCCTTCTTCACCTCCCGCTTCTGACAGCCGATGTCGGGTTTCCAGAGAGCAGGAGAGGGAGGGACGGAAGAGCTCGACTGAATTCATAATTTTACATCTTTACATTAGCTGTACAAAGTCTGAGTTTGATAAAGTGAAGAACAACAATTTGCAGAGTTGCCAGGCGCGGCGCCAGGTTTTCATTTTTGGGTGGGCCACGGTAATTTTGGACGGACCTTAATAAGCAGTTAAGTGAAGCAGGCAGGTCGCGCTAGACAATTTCGTTTAAAAAGACGTCATAAATGTGTTCCCCCGTCATTTTAATTTCTAAAATATGAAGTAAAAACTAACAATTTAATTTTCATTCATTTGTCATTAATATTTAGTCTACACCCGTGCGTTAAGTGGACCATCTTCCACTTCAAAAAGCAAAGCATCCAGCCCACCTCTCCTAATGCGTAAAATGTGCATCAGCCGCTAGTTAGGCGCGCCGCGCGCTCCGTCAGCTACGTCAGCCCAGACAAGAGCAGAGCGACTAGAGAGAGGATAATTTTGTCTGGATGTGGATGGAGATTACATTTTACAGCAGCCTGATCATCATTTAAATACGTAAACCATCACCTGTCTTCTAGCCCATGCTATCAGCATTATTTTAATTGGTGTGTGTGTGTGTGTGTGTGTGTGTGTGTGTGTGTGTGTTCCACTTCAAACACTGGTCTAACCAACCAGACCAGCGTGTCCAGTAACATATTAATGTTACAATTAAACAGTTTCACTTCATGTAGGCTAGGAACATTTCACCTGCCGTGGCCCGACCGCTTCTGCTCCACATAAACTTTGTGCGTGATCAAATGTCTCTACAGGAGCTTTCTGAGCTGAAGAGGCTGTTCTGCCTCAGACTGGATGCGTCATGCGTCTCCATATTAGAGACGGGAACAAGCGCTGTTCAGCCAAAGTTTCATAATCAGAGAACATTTTTCCAAGTGACACGTCCCTCAGAGAGACCGGCTTTCCAGACCGCTTCAGTGGGAGGAAATCTTATTGCATGTGCTGTGGTTCTGCGCTGCGAACCCCTCTACAGATCTTCAGCTCACTGTCCACCGTGTGCGCTCCGATCCGCGCTGAGCACAGTGTCCAGTATAAAGCTCTGATGTTCTGATGGGAATCATTTCTTGATTGATTTAGTTATCTCCGCGGTGTACGTAAAGTTTAAAATGTCAGCTCTTCTGTGTGCGCATCAGTGTGCGTCGGGGTAATTCTTTCAAAACAACCAACATCCTTGAGTTTATCCGTCAAAATAAAAGTCAAATGGAAATATCTGTAACCTGCCAGTTAACTGTTTTGCCTTCTTGTGAAGATTGTTGCAAAGAGAAACAACTAAACTTGATTAACCCCAGAGCAACGCGTATAAGCTGTACTTCCTGACTCAGGGTATCCGCGGGTCCTTAAAAAGTCTTAAAAAGTCTTAAATTAGCTTTTCCTAATTTAAGGCCTTAAAAGTCCTTAAAAATGACAAATAATCCTTAAATCCAGTTTCCAGGGGTCTTAAATTACCAAAGACCCAATAAACAAGATTCTTTTATTTCTATAAAAATTTCGTGAATTTCTAGTTAGTGTTCAGCATTTTTTGTGTATGATGTTGACGTAAGCGGAACCGTACGCAGTCAGTTGGTTGTGAAAGGGGGCTATTTTTCTAGATAAGCACATTAGCTGGTTAAGCTAGTGGGAGCTTGCGCCATGGGGAAGGGCAAGTTTAATGGTAACTGGATGGTTAATCCCACATTCGCGAAGCGGTTAGCACCGGTTCCAGGCAATAGCTGGAAATTATCGCTTAAATTTAATTTTTAAAATTGCTTAAATTTGGTCAAAGTGGCCTTAAAAAAGGTCTTAAAAAGTCTTAAATTTGGCTCCCTTAAATCTGCAGATACCCTGCTGACTGTAAAATGAGGGGGAAACTATTTAATCGGATCCTTTTGTTTTCAACATGGATTGATGTAAAGTTTCATTCAGTACAAACTTTAGTTACACCGATCTAACGAGACAGAGCCTGGATTTGTATTCTGAACAGTTTAAACATGTTTAAAACGGAGACATGCATGACACGTCTAAAATTCGCACCTGCTCCGCTATTATGGAAATTAAACTAACAAGATGAATAACATGAACTTATTTTAGGCACAGACAACATCCCCCACACTTTTGAAAAGCTTGCAACGCGCCTGCGGAGACCACCAGAAGATCCGAACTGTCAGAAGTCGGGTGGACCTCACGGCACTGGGAGCCAGTTGATTAAACTCCGATACTCCTAAATGTAAGTTTTGCCTTTTCTTGGGCGTTTTTTCTTCTAGTTTCTCAAGAAAAACTGTATTTTTTTGGACACTTTACTTTTCTGTTTCTGGTGCTGTGAAGCTTGGAGGATTTTTACTGCTATTTTTTTTAGCTTTTTTCACTTTTTGAGCATTTGTCATGATGCGTAACCATGGCAACAAGCTGGTTTACAATCGGTAGCAGCTGATTAACATTGGAAAGGCTGAAATAATACCTCAACTGAAGCCACAAATCCCAAATGAGCTAAAACGCAAGAAGCGTGAGCAAAACGGAGACGGCTGCAAAGGCTTGTGCGAGTGGGCAACAGTGAGGGGGGCGGGGCTTAGCGGGGACGATTGTTAAATATGTTTTAAGACATTTCACAATGACTTGGTCCTATAGTATATAAATAAGTGAAAGTTTTGCAGTATTTTTAGTTGCACTTTAGTCTTAATGCGCCTCAATGACTTCACGCAGCTCATCGGCCTTTCTGCACCTTCTGACTGACAGAAGAGGCGTGTTCCTGATGCAAAAAGGGATCCTCTGACTACATTCAGAGGAAATTTGTTTGCAATAAAAAAAAAAGTTCTAAATACCAGTAACTCGATCCAAAAATGAAGCCAGAGAATCGTGTGAGGAAACTGACAATGCTTCGTCGGGAATGCTGTGCACAATTTGCTGTCAACATCCGAACCCCGGCACTAACTCTGGGCTAAGAAGAAGCAGGCCAACCATTCAAACAGAGCCTGATGAATCCAGGTACGAAGGAACGATCTCATCCGAGCCGAGGAAAGCAACGTCACTGAGAAGTTTAATATTTCTACGCATGTTGAACTACAGGACTAGCAAGAACTGCGCTGCTCTGGGCGGCTGCATGTTGGAGTAGCTCTGTTGACCATGTGTAAGTTTTGCCTTTTCTTGGGCATTTTTTCTTCTAGTTTCTCAAGAAAAACAAATTTTTGGACACTTTACTTTTCTGTTTCTGGTGCTGTGAAGCTTGGAGGATTTTTACTGCTATTTTTTTTAGCTTTTTTCACTTTTTGAGCATTTGTTATGATGCGTAACCATGGCAACAAGCTGGTTTACAATTGGGAGCAGCTGATTAACATTGGAAAGGCTGAAATAATACCTCAACTGAAGCCACAAATCCCAAATGAGCTAAAACGCAAGAAGCGTGGGTGCAGAGCGGGAGCAAAATGGAGACAGAGAGAGGAAATTCAAACCATCTTTTCCATCGATCATAATGGGCAACGTGAGATCACTGGCCAACAAGATGGAGGAACTCCAAGCCCTTTCAAGGACTCAGCCAGAGTTTCGGCAGTTTCGGAACCGCTGGAGGAGATGATGCAAAGAAGGATTCTCCAGAGAATCAAGAAAATGATGGACAACCCTGAGCGTTCTCTTCACAAGACTGTCCGACAACGGAAGAGTGTCTTCAGTCAGAGGCTTCTTCAGTTTGGCTGCAACACTGACCGCTACTGGAGATCCTTCCTGCCAACAGCCATTGTAATATACAACAACTCTTTGATGACTTGATTATTATTATTATTCTGAGCTATTACAGCAATCAGTTTCCCTCTGGTATTAATAAAGTATTTTTGAATTTGAATTTGAATTTAATTGAATTGAATACGACCCGTCGAGTCTTGCGATGTCTCCAGGTCACAACAGTAGCTGGAATGCGTGTCTGCGTCCAAAGTGGATGTGGCTCTCATGGAGTCATCTGGCTGTGTCAGCTTGTAGCGTGCAAACAGGTTTTGACTGTATGTCAAAAGGGATAACTCAAGGATGCTTGCTCCGAACTGGCCGGTTCGGAACTCCACTAGAAACTGAATTACTCGGGAAGTAATTCCTGTTTTGTTAAAAACTTTGTTATGATCTCTGGCCAAGTTTGCCAAATCAGAATTTGACACGTTTCTGAGTATTTACCAACATCCCTTAGAAGGCCACGCCTTCCTTCAGATACAAAAATGTTTTTAACCTTAATGAGTATCTCATTGTAACGTGTATGAGTGTAAACAATGATTAACTTGTTAAATCAAACATAGTGATTTGTGCTATAAATGGATCATTGTAAGAACAATATTCATTTTAAATTAATTGATTTAAGCACAGGTTATTCAAACATTTAATTTGAACATCTTGTTTATTCATCACATATGATTAATTAATTAATAAGTTGTAAAGCCTTGTAGGATTTGTGTTGATTCACTTTTATTCAGAGTGAGGGATCCAGTAGTCTGGGCAGAGAGATGAGGCTTTTGCGGGAGACCATGACAGTTTATTTATGTCTGCGTTGAAGAACAATAAGTGAGAAAAAGGTTGATTTGTGCATCTGGATCCTCCAGCTGGTGTAACCTTGACTTTGCATTTCTGGTGTGTGTGAAAGGCTACTGCTTCAATTCGATGGTGAAAATTGACCCTTTTGATTCATTACACCATCTCAGAAAAAGCTTCCTGTTTTTCATGATAATATGGAAAGTGAGCATTATTTTTTACAAAGCTAAAAAAAAAAAATCTTAACCTGCAGCATTTGATTCTGCGCTGCTCTGGGTGGCTGCATGTTGGAGTAGCTCTGCAAGTTTTGCCTTTTTTTGGACATTTTTTTTCTAGTTTCTTAAGAAAAACAGTTGTTTTTTTACCTTTTTACTTTTCTGTTTCTGATGCTGCGAAGCTTAGAGTATTTTTTCAGCATTTTATTCACTTTTTGAGTAATTGTTATGATGCGTAACCATGGCAACAAGCCCGTTTACAATTGGGAGCAGCTGATTAACATTGGGAAGGCAGAAATAATACCTCAACTGAAGCCACAAATCCCAAATGAGCCAAAATGTAAGAAGCGTGGATGCAGAGCGGGAGCAAAATGGAGAGAAAGAGGAAATTCAAACCATCTCTTCCATCGATCATAATGGGCAGTGTGAGATCACTGGCCAACAAGATGGATGAACTCCAAGCCATTACAAGGACTCAGCCAGATTATCTGCAGTGCAGTGTTATGTGTTTCACTGAGACGTGGCTGCAGGACCATATCCCCGATTCCAGCGTCTCCCTGCCAGGATTCCTGACTGTACGAGCAGACAGAGATCTGAAGAGGAGTGGGATAAGAAAAGGAGGTGGAGTGGCAATGCTTGTCAACAACAGATGGTGCCATCCAGGCCATGTTTCAGTGAAATGTCGTCTCTTCAGCCCAGATGTTGAACTCTTGTTGTCGCCCATATTATTTGCCAAGAGAGTTCACCAGTGTTCTCTTGGCAACCGTTTTTATTCCACCTTCAGCAATTGCTGAAAATGCATGTGATGCCATCAGTTCCGTTGTAGCTAAGCTACAAACGCAGCACCCCAATGCATTTGTGGCTATATCTGGTGATTTTAATCATGCCTCGCCCTAACCCTAGAAGTCAGGTGAAGAGGCAGCTGGAGAGACTGAACAGGAACAAGGCTGCAGGTCCAGATGGTGTCGGCCCCAGAGTACTGAAGGCCTGTGCAGAGCAGCTCTGTGGGATTCTGCAGCACCTCTTCAACCTCAGCCTGGCCCAGGAGAAGGTTCCAGTCCTGTGGAAGACATCCTGCCTTGTTCCAGTTCCTAAGAAAACTCGCCCATCAGTCAATGACGACTACAGACCGGTGTCCCTGACATCCCACATCATGAAGGTCCTGGAGAGACTCCTGTTGGTCCACCTGAATAAGCAAACTAGAACATATCAGGACCCGCTGCAGTTTGCTTATCGCCATGGAGTTGGAGTTGAAGATGCCATCATCCAGCTGCTTCAACCAATCCACTGTCATCTGGACAAAGCAGGCAGCACTGTGAGGGTCATGTTCTTTGATTTCTCCAGTGCATTTAACACAGTCCAGCCTGATGTACTTTGCCAGAAACTCCAGAAGACACAGCTGAACCGCTGGAGGAGATAATGCAAAGAAGGATTCTCCAGAGAATCAAGAAAATGATGGACAACCCTGAGCATTCTCTTCACAAGACTGTCCGACAACGGAAGATTGTCTTCAGTCAGAGGCTTCTTCAGTTTGGCTGCAACACTGACCGCTACTGGAGATCCTTCCTGCCAACAGCCACTGTAATATACAACAACTCTTTGATGACTTGATTATTATTATTCTGAGCTGCTACAGCAATCAGTTTCCCTCTGGGATCAATAAAGTATTTTTGAACTGAATTGAGAATTCGACGCAAAAAATAAATGCGTATTAGAACCACAAAATTATTCATAATTTGGAAACAAGATCATTAAGACAAACGTGGTCTTCTATCTAGAACCGCCTTAACTTTCCTTTCTTTTTCAAATAAATTTTAGTTTATTTTAAATTTGATTTTAACGTCTGTTAAGTTTTGCACCTAAAAACACACAGTATCACCTCTGTATGTAATGCAGAAAGTTGTTAATTATTTAATAAACATTTAAATTTAATCTGTCTGGGCTGAGCCAAGCCCTTATGTTTCAATACCTTAACACTCAAACATTTATTTTAATATGTTGCACTTTTGTTCAAATTTGATTCTTCTATCCAGCCAGAAAAATGTCCAGATATGTGAACACAGGTCTTTAATAGGGGGGTAAGTAAGAATGAAAACACAGATTATAGAAAGTTCAAAACTTCATTTTTATTTTTGACATGCAGTCTCGTCTGTTGTGATAAAACACAAGTAGTTGGTGTCTTCTAGTGCACACCAGCAGAACAAAACAAAACCAGAGGGCGTCTACTTGTGTGGAAACCGTCCAAGCTGTAAAACCAAAATGCCAAATGAAATAGCCGCTATTTGCGCTCCATGACCTCCCAGCTAGAAATGAGTCAGGCTTTGGGTCCATTTGCAGCAGTCTGACATTAACACAATGTTCTTGTTGCATAAGAGATTATCTGGAGGGACAAATGCTTTTGAATTGTACCGGTTGGTACGTTCACAGCAGCAAAAGAGAAAAAAATGAACAGTTTAGAAAAATAATTGTATAACACTTATAACACAGCCCTGTGTGCATTTGAACTGAAACACAAAGTCTAGATTTGTACAGATTATGACTTCTTGTTGAGATTACTGTGCGCTCTGGAAGTCGTCTCCTCCTGCCACGGTTGTTCTTAATGCTGGAAGTTGCCCTCGATTTCACTCACTTTGTCTGAAAGTTTATCTAGTGATCAAACTGTCAAGGAAAACGTGTTTTTAAAACGCCAATGAAGGACAACGGCATTGCACATTTCCACTGTTTTACACCAAGAAGTTTGATTTTAAAGAGCAAGTCACCCCAAAATCAACTTTTTTCCTGATAAACTATATAAATGCGTGTCTAATCCTGCTGCAGACATGTGTAGTCAATAGTTTAGCACTTAAGTGCATTTTAGTTAAAATTTAAATATTCTGCCTAAAACTGTCAGTGTTGTGCCGTCGTCAGGTAAAAACTCTGCACTGTATTTGAATTTAAATCTGCCACCACTATTGGCTACGAGGTACCCTAGAACGTTAGCTGGTACCATATGATGTCACAATGTTGTGTGTGTATTTGTTAGCGGCTCCGCCCTCTCGGTCTGCTAGGCAACAGCATTTGTTGCATTTTTTCAAACAGGAAGTGGGAGTAGAGTAATACTCTGGTAGGGGGTGACTTGCTCTTTAAAGAAGAGACTAGCGAGGGCTGCATTCCATATCTGCACACGTTCAAATTGCTTGTTTAGCAGAACATGCTTAAACTAAATGGGATGCAGCCATCGTCACCCCAGAGCACTGGCTTTATTGTAAAGATTGCATTGTTGTTTAAAAAGGATATTTTTCCTGCTCAGCTCTTGAATAGCTGAGTGCATTTTTTTCTGGAATACAATCTGAGCTTCACACATGCAGGCGTCTTGTGTTATTTCACTCCTCATTTCCTCTGAAACAGACACAAAAACATAGGAAGTCAGAAAAGATGGCGATTTTTGTTTTTCATTAGCCACTGCTTCAGTTAAACATGTACGACGTTAGTTTTCTCATTTTCATCAGAGATCATCAGTGTTAGATGAAATCAGGTTGTTTTCCCCAAATCATCAAAAAGGCAACTTTTTGTTTGTGAGGAGGATTAGATATAATTTTTCTATCAGTTAAGAATGCTGAACCTGAAATGAAGTAAGACAACAAACACAAATTAATCAAAATACAGGTGCTGGCCAGTAAATTAGAATATCATCAAAAGGTTGAAAATATTTCAGTAATTCCATTCAAAACGTGAAACTTGTACATTATATTCATGCAATGCACACAGACCAATGTATTTCCGATGTTTATTACGTTGAATTTTGATATTTATAGGTGACAACCAATGAAAACATCAAATCTGGTATCTCAGAAAATTAGAATATTCAGGTCAGGTCAGGCGAGTTTGCTGGCCAATCAAGGACAGGGATACCATGGTCCTTGAACCAGGTGCTGGTGGTTTTGGCACTGTGTGCAGGTGCCAAGTCCTGTTGAAAGGTGAAGTCTGCATCCCCATAAAGTTGGTCAGCAGCAGGAAGCATGAAGTGCTCTAAAACTTCCTGGTAGACGGCTGCATTGACCCTGGACCTCAGGAAACAGAGTGGGCCAACACCGGCAGATGACATGGCACCCCACACCATCACTGACGGTGGAAACTTTACACTGGACCTCATGCAACGTGGATTCTGTGCTTCTCCGCTCTTCCTCCAGACTCTGGGTCCTTGATTTCCAAAGGAAATGCAGAACTTGCTTTCATCAGAAAACATAACTTTGGACCACTCAGCATCAGTCCAGTCCTTTTTGTCCTTGGCCCAGGCGAGACGCTTCTTGCGCTGTTTCATGTTCAAGAGTGGCTTGACACACGGAATGCGACACCTGAATCCCATGTCTTTCATGAGTCTCCTCGTGGTGGTTCTTGAAGCGCTGACTCCAGCTGCAGTCCACTCTTTGTGGATCTCCCCCACATTTTTGAATGGGTTTGTCGTCACAATTCTCTGCAGGGTGCGGTTATCCCTAGAGCTTGTACACTTTTTTTCTACCACATTTTTTCCGTCCCTTCGCCTGTCTGTTAATGTGCTTGGACACAGAGCTCTGCGAACAGCCAGCTTCTTTAGCAATCACCTTTTGTGTCTTGCCCTCCTTGTGCAAGGTGTCAATGATTGTCTTTTGGACAGCTGTTAAGTCAGAAGTCTTCCCCATGATTGTGGTGCCTTCAAAACAAGACTGAGGGACCTTTTAAAGGCCTTTGCAGGTGTTTTGAGTAAATCAGCTGATTAGAGTGGCAGCAGGTGTCTTCTATATTCAGCCTTTTCAGAATATTCTAATTTTTTGAGATACCAAATTTGGAGTTTTCATTAGTTGTCACTTATGAATATCAAATTTAAATGTAATGAACATTGGAAATACATTGGTCTGTGTGCATTGCATGAATATAATGTACAAGTTTCACGTTTTGAAAGGAATTACTGAAATATTTTCAACCTTTTGATGATATTCTAATTTACTGGCCAGCACCTGTATACAAATGACCTTCTAGTAAAACATTTAAAAAGACACAAAATGAAGCAATCTGTAACTTCTTCCAGTGCTCGACTATGTTCTGTTCAGTGCAGGACCAGTTTATGCGGCTGGACTCGGAGGTCTTGGTTACTGTCAGCTTTCCACAACTGAAGGATGTAAAAGAGAAGACATAAATATTCGATATTTACAATAAAAGTGCACGCTTGGAGCCAAGCTGCTGCAAAAGGGATCCTGTTTGCATCTTCTGATATTTACTGAGGACTTTTTTAAGGTTGCGGTCAACAGAGGAGACTTTATTAAAACATTTTCCCTGCAACATTTGGGAATCTTAACAATCTTGCTTTGAGATGAAAACCGCTTCGGCTGAGCAAACTGATGGCTGTACTACCTTGAGCCATTTGGGAATCTGCTGGGCTTAGATGAGCGAACACTCGTGATGAAATAAGCTAAAAACCCTTACGTGAGCACGTTTTCTGGTCAGCATTCAGCACGTATCCTTCTCGACACTTGCAGTTGTAAGATTCACCGTTGTTGAGGCAAATGTGCTGGCAGTCGTGACCCTGAGCACATGCATCCCAACCTATAAGAAGACTAAACTTAATCCAAAAACATTACTCATTGAATCCTTGGCCAAATGATGAATTATTACTCGATTATTCATGATATTTGAACAGCTCGCCTCTGATTTGTACCTCGGATATCGCTAAAAAAGCCAAATTTGAACGGTTCTAAGAAAACCAGTATGAAGAGGTACCGAGGCTGTGTTTGAATGGAAGTGTTCTTACGTGAGCATGTTTTCTTATCCATGTTGAGCACATATCCTACTCGGCACTTGCAGACGTATGATGCTCCATTACTGACACACAGGTGCTGGCAATCATGGCCCTGAGCGCATGCATCTGAGCCTGAACAGGAGAATAGCTCATCAGAACATCACTCGGCTTTTTGGACAACCTTTGGAGGCATCTTACAGATTTGCAGTGGTTGTTTCCAAGAAGAGGTTCTGTAAGAACGGTTAAACGTAGCAGTTGACGGCACAGACACAAATGTGAGGTGAAAATTACGCGAGCAAGTTGTTTGGCCTAGGTTCAGTATAAATCCCTCTCGACACTATGATTCACCACTGCTGACAATCATGCCCCTGAGCACACACGTCCGATCCTGAAAACACTTAATGCCATTCCTAAAGAAACTGTTCACTGATTTAAAGAGCAAGTCACCCCCAAATAGGGATGGGTACCTTTGACATTTGAATCAATTCGGTACTAATGAGTGTTTAATATTTTAATTCTCTTTTATAATTAAATCTATATTTTTCTCAATATATAACCATATTTGATAAAATCACGATAAATAACACACAACTGTTTGTATTTAAACATCGTCCTTGTAGTTTTATAAGCTGATAATTAAACTGAAGCAAACATCTTTACTGTGATCTAAATTTACTGTGTGTCTTCATTCCTTTTGCCGTCCTTTTTCATTTGATTTTTCCTACTGGGAAGTTAGAATTTCCGAGGTGAAAGCGAACGCACCATTAGCTGATAACAACGGTGGCAATGGAAGCTAACATATCAAGCTAACGTTATCTTAAACAGTTTATTTAGCTGATGGAGCAGATTGAAACGATGATGCCTCACACTTAGATCGTTGTCGCTGGTTTCATCTTCACCCATTCACCCGTCGCATTTGGTAAAGTGAAGCCAAACTTTAGAGCGCGTTCATGTTCTTCTAGTCGGAAATTCGGAGTTCCGAGGAGAAAGCGAACGCGCCATTAGCGGAACGGAAGCTAACAAATCAAGCTAACGTTATCTTAAACATTTTATTTACCTACTGGAGCAGATTAAGATGAGGATGTCTCACTTAGATCGTTGTCGCTGGTTTCATCATCACCCAGTTACCCGTCACATTTAGTTCTCGTTATGAAGGACGGGTACCGAAACAAGGCTCCGTTTCAAATGACGTGAATCGGTGCTCAGTCGGTACTATGGAATTTGGTCGGTACCTTAAAAAGTACTGAATTCGGTACCCATCGCTACCCCCAAATCAACTTTTTTTCCTGATAAACTAAATAAATGTGTGTCTAATCATGCTGCAGACACGTGTCGTCAATAGTTTTGCACTTAAGTGTATTTTAGTAAAAATTTAAATTTTCTGCCTGAAACTGTCAGTGTTGTGCTGTTGTCAGGTAAAAACTCTGCACTGCATTTGAATTTAAATCTGCCATCGCTATTGGCTAAGAGGTAATCTAGAACGTTAGCTGGTACCATATGATGTCACAATGTCGTGTGTGTGTGTGTGTATTTGTTAGCGGCTCTGCCCTCTCGGTCTGCTAGGCAACAGCATTTGTTACATCTTTCAAACAGGAAGTGGGAGTGGAGTAATACTCTGGTAGGGGGTGTCTTGCTCTTTAACTAATTATGCATTCCCAAGTTTAAAAAAATCACACGATGAGATCTGAAAACGTGATTCTTACGTGAGCACGTTTTCCTGTCTGCATTCAACACGTAACCGGGTCTGCATGTGCATACGAATGAGTCGTCCATGCTGACGCAGATGTGTTGGCAGTCATGTCCCTGCAAACATCTTTCTGCACCTGAGAAGAAAGACTTTAGTTCCTGTTTATTCAGTTTAAATAATATGGTCATACGGACGAAAAACTCAAAAGCTTACGTGAGCATGTTTTCTTATCAGGATTCAACGCATAGCCTTCTCGACATTTGCAGCGGTGAGAGGTACCGTTGTTTACACAAATGTGCTGGCAGTCGTGTCCATAAGCACACGGGTCAGAACCTAAAAAAGGGCCATACGTGATATTCCTGCTGAAAAAAACGGCATGTGTTGTGTTTGGGATGCTGGTCCAGCATGCATGTCCGGGATGGGATGCTGGTCCAGCATGCATGTCCAGAATCCAGTTAACAGCATCTCATGCTAGACCAGCTCAAAGCATGGTAACCAGATTAGTTGTGGGAGTTTTTTGTCAGTCAGAGGCCTGTTTGATTGCTTTTCTTCATCAATAAACAAGCCAGAAGCAGTCAAACAAATTTCTCAAAACTGCAATTACAACTTATTTTATTTGGTAAGTTATTTATTTAAGTGTTAGTGGTGGTCAGAGGGGCCGACGGCGCCAAATGGCAGCCTCGCCTCTGTCAGACCTCCCCAGGGCAGCTGTGGCTACAAGTAGCTTACCATCACTAGCAGTGTGTGAATGTGAGTGTCTTTGAGTGTCTTGAAAAGCGCTATATAAGTTCAATGCATTATTATTATTATAATTTTCCTCCCATGCCATTGGAATAGTGGCACATTCCTCCATGGGAATGGCGTAAAATCCCTTGTAAACCAAAGCTGCTCATGTGTTTAGCTTAAAAAAAAACAGCTTTTATATGTAGACTAGAAATAACTAGAAGTTTTTATCATCCTAAGCAGTAAGAAAGGAGCCAAAACGCACAAAAGGGATGATGTTGCGTTTCAGATGTTCTGTTCTAGAGCATGTTGTGGTCTGCATTCATCACAAAGCCTTCTTGGCATTTGCAGAGGTGTGTGGGTGTGGGTGTGGGTGTGGGTGTGGGTGTGTGTGTGGGTGTGTGTGTGTGTGTGTGTGTGTGTGTGTGTGTAGGAATGTCATTTTTTTGTGCATTTACTTTGTTCTGTAATAATTTTCAATGGAAGAAAGCTCATAAGAACAAAATACAAATGTATGAGAATTAAGTTTACCTTGATTTTAGCTGAAATGTTAATTTTATAATAAAATACATAAAAATAAAAATTTTCACATTTATTTGAGGAAAATTCTGTTTTACAAAAGAAATTCTTACGAGAGCAGGTTTTGTGGTCCAAGTTCAAATCGTATCCCGTTTGACACTTGCAAGTGTACGAGTTGCCGTGGTTGACACAAATGTGTTGGCAGTCATGTCCTCCAGCACAAGCATCTGAACCTGAACATGGAATAAGAGAAAAGGTTTTTCCACCCAAGGCCAGAACGAATCCTGAGTAATACTCTGAAACAGAAAACATGAAGGTTCTTACGGGAGCATGTCTTCTTGTCTGGGTTTAAGATGTATCCCGAGCGGCACTTGCAGGCGTAGGAATCGTCATTGCTGACACAAATGTGCTGGCAGTTGTGTCCCTGAGCACAAGCATCCAACCCTGAAGAGAAACCTGCAGAGAAACTCTTGGTCTGATTGGCTTAAACTGGATCAAATCGGTCTTTTCTGTGGTCTACGTCTGGATCAGTTTGTTAGTAACTGAATCATTCACCACATGCAAGTTAGTCTGATTTCTGCGATCAGCCTCAAGATCTATGGGTTAATGGTGAAGACGGAGGCATGTTTAGGTGGTCCAGTGAGTTTGGTTTTAGGTCACAACATCTTGATGAAGAGGCTCTTCAGCATGCTGCTGTTAAACGTGAGTCGTTCACACTGAAACATGCCCACCAGCGGCAGTAATGTGTTTATGTGCTGTATGCAATATATTCCTTATTAGGGATATAGCATAACTAGCATGCGTAGCCTCAGCCTGCAGATCCTGCAGCTGCTGCACGTTCTCTGGAAAACTTCTGCATTCCCTCTCACGGCTTTTCCAAAAAGGTTCTCCAATCACAGCAAGGGCCGTTTTTAACTCATCAGCATAAAAAAAGAAATCTAGATGCATGGATCTATTGGATTTATTTGGATTCTGCCTTACGTCTGCAGGAATATGAAAACTTTGAGTGAATCTGTATTGAAAGAGAGGGAAAACGGCAAAAGTTCTTCCAAAACGAGGTTTTGAATATTCAGTAACTGGTGTTTTAAACTGAATAAGAGTGATTTTAAATGGAAAAACGCACTTTTGGATTTCTGGTGTCACCCAGATTTAACATTTCTAGCACTGGAACTTCTGGTTGGGTCAGGAACTGTTTAATATGTTCAACGCGAGATAAAAGCAAACAAAAGAAGGCATGCATCACCTTTTATCATCTTCTCCCAAACTAGAAGTTAATAGTTTGGTTTTTCTGTCTTGGTGCTGGTTTAGTTTAGCATAGCAGCAGACACTTTAAAATCATATGAACCATTTTTATCATTAAAACACCAAATAAAGTCATTCTGCTCTCTAATTAGGACGGACGCAACAAAGGCGTTGAGCTCCTATTCTGAGTTAAAAGTGATCGTTCTGGTAATTCTGTGAAATTAATTTATCTAAGCAGTTACACTCAAAAACGTTTTAGTTGCATTTAACCTGGTTATAAATGGCAGTTTGCAGAAGCTCAAATTGCAGAGCGGACCTCTGGATGACTGAGCGAAGCAGAGCTTGCAGCACAAACTGCTGTGCAGCTGCTCCTGCGAACAACACGGACAGCATCATCGTAGGTTTCAGACATGGTCGGGCTCATTTTGCTGAGACAGAAACTCATCGGTGTGTTCTCTTCTTACAAGTCAGTGAGTGAGGACGTCTTTAATGCTTAGTGCATTAATACCACTTGACTTATTCAAAGACAAAAGTTAGTGGACATCTTTTCTTTACATATCTCCGAATATCATGACTGCTTTCTGTGCTTCAGATCAAAGAAGACCAGTGACTGCTTCCCAGTATGCTGCTGGCCATGTGACCACAGGTGAATACAAACGGATGGATCTGACGTACCATCGTTTCCTCTATCGTCGCGCTCAATTTTATTTCCGTAATGGTCTTTGATGCCTTCTAGGCCTAATCCGTTCTCATCAGTTCCGGCTTCTATTGGAACATCTGCATTCCCGTTCTCGTCATCCTTACCACACAAGGTTTCCCTAAATTTGGCAGTCAGCTTCTCTATGACTCCATAGGTTTCCACGTAGAAGACGTGGTCCTCGTGTGGCTGGCTGGCCATCAGCTGGAGGGACGCCATGTCGGCTCTGTCTACGCCCACCGCGTAGATCTCGATCCCAGACGCTCGGGCTGCTGCTGACACCTCTTCCACGTTGTCCTGGGGTCTTCCGTCTGTCACTATTATGGCCACCTTGGCGATGTTCATGGAAGCGGCTCGGGCCCCCGCTTCCTTGGTGAAGGCTTTCTCCATGGCGGTTTTGATGGCCACCCCTGTCATGGTGCCTGAAGCGAGGGGCTCGACGCGGCCCAGTGCCTGCTTCAGGGAGGACTTGTCGAAGTATGTGCTGAGGAGAAATTCAATCTTCACTGTGCTGGCGTAATTAACCAGGCCGACGCGAGTGGCGTCTGAGCCGATGGCCAAACTGTCCACCATGATCTGAAGGAACTCTTTGGCCTTTTCAAACTCTGAAGGGCGAACGCTGCGGGAGCTGTCTATGATGAAGACCAGGTCAATTGGTCGGTTTCTGCAGTTGGAACTTGTTCCTGTACAAGAACAAAAAGGGTTTTTGATGCAATTGTTAAGATATTTTTGAAAGCAATCCATCCTTTGATGCCTAATTTTGTGATCCAGCTTTTCTATTTTTTTTGTTTAAGTTGATTTTGCATTATCCACACTTCCTGTTTTATTTTGACGAGTTGAGTTCACTGAATATTTAGCTAAACTTACTTCCTGCCTCACATTTGCCCCTCATTTATAATAGTTATAATAATTTTCATTTGATATTCGTATTTAAATATAAACACTCCTGACCCAGGGTAGGGTACCTCATGATAAAGGAACAGGAAAGGTACTAGGTGAGCCAAATACTCCTTTTCAAAGCTTTTTTTGGTGCTGTGCCAACTGCCAACAAATTATATGTGACAACTGCAATTATGAGATAAAACAGAAAACCTAATATTGTAAATTGATGTTTTTGTTTCAAACTGAGTTTCCTTCTCCTGAAGGCAGAAACACACTGAAAGGGAGTGGTGCTTTTGTAAGCTAACCCCTGGAAAATGCATAAGCATAACTAAACATTAAACTGCTCATTATAAAATGAAAATGGATTATTTACATTATCTGTGTTTCCTGATTGCTGAAGTCCAGTACCTGAACTGGCTCCACTGGATGCAGGAGCATCTCCAGCAGGCTGCCAGGATGCAGATGGTGAGCTCTGCTGGCTCCTCTGTGGAAAAGGCTGGGACTCTTGGATCTGGGCATTAGGACTGCCTGCTTAAATAAATGGATTCAGATTTAGAGTGGGGTGGGGTTTAGATCAATAGTAATATTAATACATTTTGAGGTTGCCTTTCTAAAACCCAAGGTCACTTTAAAGGGACTTTTCGGACTTTTGAATTTTTATGCTCGCGATTGCCCCCTCAGGCCAAAAGCGTAACAGCAGATTCAATAGTAGGCTCGTGCATGAGGCGCTCATGCTGTACGTGCACACTCCTTAACTAAAATAACAGCTGGCAGTCGTGTGTGTGTGTGTGTGTGTGTGTGCGTGCGTGTGTGTGTGTGTGTGCGTGTGTGTGTGTGGCCCGGAGGACAGGAGAACGCACAGCTAATTAATTAAATAATGTGGTTCTGTACCTTTCTCTTCAGCACAGCCGACAAAGGTTTAAGATGGGTCAGTCCTCCTGCATGCTCAGATCATTCCCTTCCTTTGCTTGAAAAATTGTTCCAAAATGAAAGTTGAACCCACATCTTTTTTATCTGTGAATTCAATGCCGTTCGGCGAGTCTCAAATAAAAATTTGGGCATCTTACTGTAAAAAATATACCATTAATGTAAAAAAGATACTCTACATAAACTATGTTCACATCCAGAATCAAACCCAGGTCTTCTGCATAAGAGTCAGACGTCTTACTAGGTGAGCTAAAGCACCAGTGACGTCCTTTGTATCTGTAACATTTATATCGTTGATGACAGCTGAAACAACGTTCAAAGAACGGTTCGGAGCTAAAATGGCTATTTTGTTGCTAATTAGCAGGAAATATCTAGAAGAAAGTTCTACAGAAAGTAGCTAAGGGTCCTCAGAAATGTAGCTAGCTTTGTCACTAGGCGTTAGGAACAGCGACAAAGTGGCACTGCCTCTCTCTCTGCTGCTAAAGCTACGGATAGCAAATGCTACGGGCGATGCCTGAGCGTGAACGCGCATGAAGCAGCCTGCTCGACCCGAGCATCTCTCTTTTTCTGTGATTTTACAGAAAAACAGGCATTCACAGTAAAAATGCCAGGGCTCATTCTACAGGACCAGGGCATTGCAGGAGAACGTATGAAGAAGACATTTATTATTTCTATACATGTTTTGGCTGTCACACTTCCATAATGTCCCTTTAATGAGAAACAAGAACATTTAAAAACAGCAGTGCACTAGCCTGCTGTAACGTGTGTTTAGTACCACATAAAAGGCAGTTTCCCAGCTCTTTTTATTCAGTAGAAGCAGGGGTGGATCTACACATATATATTTCACTGCAGTGAAATATTGTAATTTGGTTTTATTGTTCACTCAGAAACATGTTTTCCTTTTTCTTTTCCCAGTATTTACATATTCCTTTGTTTTGGGTCCTCATTTAATAAGCTTAAAGGCCCATCATGAAAATAAAACTCATAATAAAATTATGTCCTTCCTACAACAGCTGAATGTGGCAGTTTTCATGTTGCTCACAAAACGCTTTACAAATTCATCAAGATCCAAAGATTGTGCCCGTTTTGATTGAATGCTGAGGACAGCCTAGCTTGATAGTCTTTTCTCTGTCAAGGATGACTGCAAATAGGTCTTTATGAGCCTGAGAGTTGAAAAACATAGATTTTTCGTTAATTTATAGCTGCCAGCTGGGGTAGCAGCAGGGGTGGCAAGGCTTTCTTTTAGGGTGGCAACTGCCACCCACCCTTGTAGATCCGCCCCTGAGTAGAAGATAAATGGTCTAAAATCAGTACATTTATATGAAAAATCTGGTATTTCCAGGAGAAAAAGAGTAAAGTCATTCCTATTAGGATGCCTCCAACCTTCACTGGGCTCTCTTTGCTCTTCAAGCCTCCGGTAGAAACTGTTCGCTCTCTGTTGCTTCTGCTGCAGCGAAGATCCAAGAGAAACCATTCCCATAGTTCCAACAAAGACCGCCAGCTTCCAGATGAATGGAGAAGTCATGTCTGCACACAGCATGGTTACACTAATCCTTCTCTGGTCTCCGCTCCAACCCCTTATTTATCTGCTCCAGGACCACTGCCCACAAGGCGGAGAGAACTAAGGTCCAATCCGGACTCCAAGACCTGAGGTGAGGGTTGTTCAGAGATTCTTGTACTTTTCTCAGATTTAATATAAGAGGCCACAGCTAGCCAGGGTAGCTTTAGTATGTTTATCCTAGTTAGAAAAGCATGGAAGGGGCAACTAAATTTATATCAACAAATAATGATGATTTTTGCAGTTTCTTTGCTGTGCTTTTGTCAGAGACAGCTGTTATATGAAGCTTGTTAACTTAAGCTCGAGTTATTATAAAAGCATTTGTTGAACAAGGAGCAGCCTTCTACAGCAAGCCACGATGCAGAACCCAAGCTACTTCCTCCAGTCCTTCAGAATAAGGGTCTCAAATATACTTGCATCTGTATGTTTACCAGTAAAACTCAATTTATAAAAGCTTTTGATTTTTTGAGTTGGTTTTTAGGACTCATTGTGAAGGAATTAAGTTATTAGTTAAACCAAGGTTTCTGTTGCAGAAGTAGCCGAAAGACTCAGTCACTCATCTATCATGCCACTTATTCCTCAGAATGGATGGGACATGTCCATGGGGGCTTCTACTGTTTCTCTCTTTGGACAGGAGACATAAACCAGCTATAAGCGGTGCAGCCGTTCTCATTTCTAGCTACAGCATCCTCTGCTGTCACTTGGCCCCAAAGTGTTTCGTCATGGTGTTCAGGAAGGAGCTGAACAACGAGCACGTCATTGCCGAGTACATCAGGAAGCATTATGAGAGGAAGACACTGTCTGTGGTAAGATAGTAATTCTGTAGGTGTTTAAATGATCGTGATCACATGCAAGTGATCATTATTGTGTTCTGTTTGCTCACACGTAACAAGGCCTTTCATTCACTCTGCTTAACACGTAGCAGGGAAACTGGAAATTAACCGATCTTGTCTCCTTAAAACATTTAAACCTGATTGAGAACTCTTGAGAGGGATTCCCTGAGTTGTAACTGCCTTCTGTAATTGTGTATATAACCAACTGCAGAAATGTTGTGACTGAATCTTTTGCTGCCTTATGGCCAAGTCTCCCTTTGAAATGAGGTTTTAAATCTCAACGGGACCTTCCCGGTTAAATAAAGAATAAATTGTTATTGCATCATAAATTCCTTTTCTAAAATCCTTTTTTAAACCTTTTGCTTAAGTATCAGGTGGCTTAACCCTCCTACTGTCCTAATGGGTGCATGGACCCAAAGAATAAACCACCAACCCTGCTCAATGGTCAGCTTTACTCGTGGGGTCACCCATAAAGACAGTGGGAGGGTTAAAGAAATAAGATTTAGGCTGAATGTTCATAGAACAGATGTAAATGTCCCGATGTGAAATATATTAAAACATAAATTATTGATGGCACGAAAGGTGAGAGAACACATGGTTTTTGTTTAAATGGGGGGGAGGCGAACCTACGGCCATATTGGAGCCTAATATGCAAATCCTAATACACGAAAGGATGTTCCTGCAAACTCGAATCCTATAATTAGTACTTTTGCTCCACTTAAAGTTCAATAGGTGTAATTACACTACCAAAGTAGAGTAGTACTCAGTAAATACTTGGGTATTGTTTACTAACTAATGTATTTCAACTTGTAGCTAAACTTTTTAGTCTGTTAAGCTTTATCGTAGCTGCGGTGTAAAACCATACAGGAATGTATTTATTTCAGGTGAAGTCTCCGTTGACTGTATGTTCACGCATAACTCAGCCACCAGGTGGGGCTCTTGAACTGTGATCTTTGAATCTGGAATCATCCATTAATATGAATAAGTGAGTTTTATAGACATGTGGGAGATGAAAAAGAAACAGTAGTGCATCAAAAAGTGAGCTGTCCTGATGAATTTGCAATAGAAAACCTTTCTAATCCGAGCCTTTACCCATCTACCGTCTATCTGCAGCAAATAAGGGTAGGAGACTATTTTCATGTGGAGCCTGCCTGTGACCAAGAGTAAAAACGGATCTCTGTGAAGTTGGCCTTAAAAAGAGCCAATATGCTGACAGCTGCAGCACATTTTAGTGATATTCACAGAGACATCAGCATCTGTTTCAAGGTCAAGGGCAATTTTATTTACAGAGCACATTTACAGCAAAGCTACACCAAAGCGCTGTACAAGGTGCAACAGATCAACAGTAAAAACCTAAAATAAGATGAGGACACAACAGTCACAATCTGTAATAAAAACTGTTAAAAACTATTAAGATGCTCAAGTCAGCCTGCATTAAAAGCCAAATCAATAAAATGAGTCTTAAGAAGGGATTTAAAATGCTCTAGATTCTGTGTGGTCCTGATGTTGAGAGGTCGCTTGTTCCACAGTTTGGGCCCAACCACAGAGAACGCTCTGTCGCCGCGAGTCCTGTGGCGGGTTTTTGGAACTGTTAAAAGAGCTTGAGAGCTGGACCTCATGGTTCTGGCAGGGACGTAAGCGGACAGCAGCTCAGAGATGTAAACTGGGGCCAGGCCATGAAGGGACTTAAAAACAAAAAGTAAAATTTTGAAACGGATCCTGTAAGAGACAGGAAGCCAATGGAGAGAGGCCAGAACCGGGGTTATGTTATCCCGCTTGCTGGTTCCAGTCAACAAGCGGGCCGCTGCATTTTGGACCAGCTGAAGTCGGTGTGGGGAGGACTGGTCCAGGCCAGAATACAGGGGCCTGCAGTAGTCCAATTGGCAGGACACGAACAGGTGGATGACATGTTCGAGGACATTAGCAGGAAGGTATGGTTTCAAGCAGGTTCCCATTACTTTATGGGATTCCTAAATGCAATGCACTAAAGAAACTTTCAAAGTAGAACGCACACAATTTAAATCTTGGCTGCAAGTGTTCTGTTTGGAATAATTTCATGCATCCTTTTTCTAAATATGCTTTTGTTGTTATTGTGTGAACATTGTCATTTATTTGGTGTCTTGTTTCCTGCAGGATGTTTAAAACGGACGCCCCAAAACAGTCATTTAAATTAGTTTGCCAGTTAAAGGTTTAGTCACTTGAATAATTAAAAGGTTTTTACAGCGTGCATAACAAGTTATTCTTCCTGTATTAAAGGCTTTTTTACCTTTGCATGGGATTGGATTACATAACTGGGCTGTCGAACACAGAGGCCTTTTGTTGTTGAAAGCAGCTCACGACCTTAGGTGATTCTGATGTGAGGTAAGATGTTTTGTTCCCTGTCCCTAATTCACCTCACAGCGTTACCGGTTTGCAGGGTAGTTATTTTGAGGATGCCAGTAGAAGGGTGTATACATATGTGACAATGCAAATGATCCTCTTTGCCTTTGGGATGAGACATTATGAGAAGTGAGATACAGAAACCAGTTCCCACACTAGTGAGCTGAATATGTGCGACCAACCTGTTGGTGTGCACCATGTTCCTGTTGAAATGCATTCATTTCTTGGGCTTGTTTTACTTTACAAATGCCACTCTGCATGCATACTCTCCTGGAAACATCGTGATCGGAGGACTTTTTCCCATTCACTCTCACACCAACAGAACCACGAGAGCTAGAGATGCTGTCTGTATTGAGTAAGTGTTCTCAATGAAACCACATTTCATGCATTTAAATCCAGTTTTTTAATTTCATGTCAGTTTATTACAGCTATGACACCCAATTGTTCCTGCACAGCCAAGTGATGATTCACGCCATCGAAGAGGTGAACCAGTGTACGCCAGCGCTGCTACCCAACCTCACTCTGGGTTATGATATCTATGATACTTGTGGAGATGTCAGCCTTGCCATCAGAGCAACTCTGCAGCTGATGAAGAACCAGTCCGACCCTCAGAGCTGTCTAGTACCTGAAAGCATTGATTCCTACTTACCTGAACCTGAAACAAAGGTGCTGATTGGTGAACGCTCCTCTGAAGTGTCCATAGCCATTTCCCAGATTCTTGCTCTGACCTCAGTTACCCAGGTTTGTCTTTTTGTTGTTTAATTATTTCTGACTGCTGCTCAAAGATGAAGAAAATTTGAATTTCTCTTTACGATCTGTAAGCGTTTGTATGTATTTACGGTACACGCATTACTCCACCCCTTCAAAATCAACCTCTTAACATCGAAGTCTACGCATGTTTTAATCTAATTTTATGCTTGATTTGTACAGATTAGTCACGCCTCCACCAGTGTGGTGCTCAGCAAAAGATTTAAGTTCCCGACTTTCTTTCGGACTGTTCCCAGCGATGAATTTCAAACTATGGCCATTTATGAACTGGTCAATGAGTTGAATTGGAAAACGGTGGCCATTATTGGAAGCGATGATGAGTATGGGAAGTATGGTAGCGACGGTCTTCAGAGCATTTTTGATAAAAATAACATCTGTGTTGAATTTGTTGAGATTCTGTCTGGAAACTTCAACCAAGATTGCCCCTACACCTCCAAAACTCTCAAGAACCTGATGACTAAAATTGAAATGTCCACAGCCGAGGCCATCATCATGTTCACCAAGGGCGCCAATGTTGAAACCATCTTGAAAGAAGTCATTGAAAACAAACTAAACAGAACATGGATTGCCAGCGACACATGGTCCACCTCCTTGGCAATTTCCACGATGGCAGGAATAAATCAAATCGGACAAGTTTTTGGATTCATCTTCAAGAGGAACGAGGTTCCTGGTTTTAAGGACTACGTCCACTCGATGTTCAATGGAACCAAGAACCACTTTATTGATTACCACCTGAATCAGTTCCCACTTTGCCAAAATCAGACTGGGAACACAACTTGCAGCAGATCTATGAACTGCACTGACCCAGACTGTTTGGCCTCCTTGGTTGACCAGGACGAATCGTACAGCATCTATCTGGCTGTGCAGGTCATCGCTGAAGGTCTCAGACGCGTACTGAGATGTGACGACCAAAGCTGTGCACGGACTGAATTTACAACCTTTGAGGTAAAGATATTTTACACCACTGTTTAAGTCCCATTGTTGTCACACACACACACTGATGTGTGTGACATTTGTTCTCCGCATCTGACCCGTCCCCTGGGGGAGCGATGAGCTGCAGACACAGCCGCGCTCGGGAACCATTTGGTGGTTTCGGATTAAAATCTAAAATAAAACAGTTTGATGGTTTTTGCTTCATGTGCATGTTAGACAAATGTGGAATTTGAGAGTGAAACTAGTAATTTTTTTATTTTATTTTATACTGTTGTGACATTTGCATTTCTTGGTCATCCTTTTTTGGACGTTCTATAACTTGTGTGAAGTTTGTATCATTTTTGCTAATTCTGCATTATGATTGGATCATATAAGAGTCCTGCACGGGCCTAAAATCTGAGCTCGGGTCCGGCCCGGCCCGAGGGGGTGGAGCCCCAGCCCGACCCGGTCCGAAAAGGTTTTCAGGATTCTCTGGCCCGGCCCGAGCCCGACGTTTTTTTTAACCTTTCATGATGTTTTAGCGTGATAGGATGCTCAGCGTTCTAATTATCTGTGGGAAGCGTTCTGCAGTAAAAAAAAAAGAAAGAAAAACGGCATCAATGCAGCTTTTTTTAATAACAGAGCGTATTTTTCGAGCGGCAGATGAAATTTACGAACGCTATATTAATTGGATGCGTTTGTAAATTTAATCTGCTCTGAACATGCGCTCTTGTGCAATTAGAAAAAAAAGCAGCGTTCTAATTATCTAACTGCACAAGAGCGCATTTTCAGAGCAGCAAATTAAATAAACGCCCCCACTTAATAAAGCGTTTGTAAATGTAATCTGCCGCTCTGAAAATGTGCTCTGCAGGTAGAAGAACACAGCGATGAATGGTGTATTTTTTTAACTGCAGAGCGAATTTGTTCACAGAAAAATGGAACGCTGCCATTTTCATGAGAATAAACGAATGGTTTCTGACATCAAAGTGGACATAAAATGACGTATTAGAATAGGGGCACATGTTTCAATCAGCTGTTTGAGAATTCGTTTATATCGGCGCGTTTATAAACCACTCACACCTTAACTGAGCTAACGGTGCGTGAGAAGCAGGCAGGTGCTGCTGCATTGAAGTGTTTCAGTTTTTTTTTAATGAATTTGATTAAAAATTAAGGCGCCCGGCCCGGCCCGTGTCCGAGGTAATTACACAGTCGTTGGCCCGAAGCCCGGCCCTCGGGCCGTACTGTCCCCCGGGCCTAGGGCTCCAATGCAGGGCTCTAGATCATATGGGTCAAAACGAGGTTCCTAAACTCTCTGCGTCCCACATTTCTGCTACTTTTCACAAGAGTGTAAGTTTGTGTTTTTTCTGCTCCACAGCTTCTCGAGGAAATCCAGAAAGTCAACATCACTGTAGGCGTAACAAATTTACATTTCAATGGTGGAGATCCCAGTTTAGGATATGAAATTGTTTACTGGAACCAGTCTGAGTCTGAAAACAGTAAGAAGATACAAACCATCGGAGAGTACCAGCCTAATGGAAACCTTGCACTTCCAAACTTTCCTCAGGATCTCCTCAAACAGATGAAATCGCTGACTGTAAGCTGAAAACTTGTTTTCATCATTGTAGCATATGGAGTCTTATGCTTGTGAATTGTGTTTTCCTAAGGTGACCGCTTACAATTGCGCCAAAATGTGTGCATCAGGACAAACGTTTCAAATGATGGACCGAAAATGCTGCCATGAGTGTGTCCGATGTGACGATGGATACGTTTCAAACGGTCAGTGCTTCTTCATATTTACACAATAGCAGTTTGCACATCCCAGCTGTGGTGAAAATAATAGCGTTTACATGTTTATGTAAAAAAATTCAAGTTTTCCATCCAATGTTATAAAATAGAAGCAAATCTCCTTTCATTTTTGCTGAAATGATTTTTGCGTTCTGTGTCCTGGGCGTGCCTCTGCAGGTACAAAGTGTGAGAAATGTGGAGACTGGGAGTATTCCAATCATCTTAGGAATAAGTGTGTGGAGAAAACGGAAGACTTTCTTCAATGGGAAGACCCCGTCTCCATCTCTTTATGCTTTTTTGCCATCCTTGCAATAATCATCATCACTGCGTTTGCTGTTGTGATCCGCCTGAACGCTGGAACTCCCGTCGTGAAAGCGATTGGCGGTTACTTGTGTTTCTTGGAGCTTCTTTCCCTGCTGTTGACTTTCAGTCTGACCTTCACCTTCCTGGGAAAGCCCACAAAACTGTCCTGTGTAGCGATTCCTCTGTTTGGTGTGGGATTTTCTCTCTGCATGTCCTGCATTTTGTCTAACTTGCTTCAGATTTTGCTGGGCTTCATATTTGATGTGAATGTTCCCTCCTGGATCAAAAAGTTTAATCAGCCAGCAGTTGTGGTTTTAACCACCTCTGGGATCCAGCTGGTTGTGTCTTTATCTTGGCTGATTGTGGTCCCACCTAATCCCACAGAGGAGATTAAAAACACCACCATCTTGTACCAGTGTGAGATGAACAAAGAGTCCCAGAAGTTTTTCATAGCCACAATTACGTACATCTCACTCTTAGGCTTCATTTGTTTTCTCTTCGCAATCAAAGGTAGGGAGCTGCCCGACTTGTACCGCAACGCCGTACTAATCTCCATCAGCATGGTGATGTTTTTGATCATATGGATAATTTTCCTTCCACTTTTTCTCACCTTGGAAGGAAGGTACAGACCAGCTTCAAACTGTGCAGCCATTCTTATTTCTGGCTACAGCATCCTCGGCTGTCACTTGGCCCCCAAGTGTTACATCATGGTGTTCAGGAAGGAGCTGAACAACGAGAACGCCATCTCGGAGTACATCAGAAAGCATTACGAGATGAAGGGCTTGGCCATGGTCAAATGACTGAACATGCACAGAATAACACCAATCTGCAGCTGGTGGGACTTTGTGTTCACTCCTTAAATTTCATAATGCCTTTTAGACAAAAGTTGTAACTTAAAGAGGACATTTCATGACTTTTTCTTAAGTTTCAATGCCTTTTTGGTTGATACCAAACATGTTTATAAAGTTCTTTGCACAAAATCCCTCTCGCGTAGTGATTTGTGCAGTTTTATTCTTGGCAGTTTCAGCACCTCCCTGAGTGAGCCGTTACAGGGCTGGAAACCGAGCTGGAGCTGGCCACGCCCATTCCATGCTCAGACTTATATAGGCTTAAAACAGGGGTGCCCCATCCTGGTCCTCAAGGGCCGGTATCCAGCATGTTTTAGTTTTAATTCTGCTTCAGCACACCTGATTTCAATCAGCAGGTGATTAACAGGCTTCTGCAGAGCCTGATGAGCTGCTGCAGATGATTCAACCAGTTAATCAAGTGTGCTGGAGCAGAAAAACCACAAAACCTGCTGGATACCGGCCCTCCAGGACCAGGATTGGGCACCCCTGGCTTAAAAGATGCATGGGAGGGGCTCAGAGTAGAGATGGTGCTCTCCTACAAATGAAACAGACTCTTTTTTACTTTCCCCATTTGTGACATCACAAATGAGGACTTTTTAAAATGGCTTGTTTTGGGTGCATCATTTCTAAAATCAAAGGTTTAGTTGTTTGGCACTTTTAATGCAGCAATGTTGCCCAAAGTACTTAACATAAACACTTTAAAATACAATAAAATGACAACAGTCAATTAAAAAAATTATAAAAAAAGAACAAAAATAAAATCGGACACAAAAAGTCGTAAAAACAGGACCACCCTGTCAGGCCAAGGTGTTAAAAGCTTCGGAGTAAAAATAAATCTTCAACAACTTCTTAAAAACGGCTGCAGATGATGCCTGCGTAATGGTGACTGGTAACATGGGTGCCACCGCTGAGAAAGACCTAAACCCTCGTCTCTGTAGCCTCACCCCAGGGACATTCAATCCAAGTTGGTCAGCCGACCTCAGTCCGCGAGATGGGACGTACTGCATGAGAAGCTCAGAGACCGGTGCAAGGCCATTTAAACGTTTATAAGCCACAACCAGAATCTTAAATTGCACCCGGTACCTAAGCGGAACCCAGTGCAGAACTAGCTGCAACCTAGAGGTACACCTTTAATTATTGCAATAATCTAAACAGGAAGTTATGAATGCACGTATAAGCTTCTCCAAATCGTTCATAACCCGCCCGCACTGTTAATGGGCTCAGATGGACCTCTGGTGTATTTTTATTTTTATATTTTTATATTTTTTAAGGGGTGCATCACTTCACCCCTGCCAAGGCATAAACTTTAAACTCTGTTTAGCCACGCCCTGTCCTGGCGGGGTCACCTGATGGGAAAGTGGACGGGTTAAGCAAAAAGACTTCACCTTGTAAAGATTTCTCAGCTGATGAGCGAACAACATTATTCACTAGTAAATCAAAACTAAGCTGAGAATCGACCTCAACACCCAGATCAGACGCCACATCCTTTCAACCATTTGTAAGGCCGTTCACCAAAGACCGAGGAAATCCAGGAGAGCCACTCAGTGCCAGCATACTTAGTTCAGTCTTCGAGTCGTCAATCTGCAAGAAATTACAGCTCATCCGGTCCTTCATCTCACAAAGGAACTCAAACGCTGACAGGGAATGGGTGGATGGATTTTTTTCATGTTTGGAGTTTTTATAGAGGCAGCAGAGACCCACCAAACTGCTTGTTGTCTTCTGATCTCAGGCTTCTGGCTGCAGCCTTGGTTTAAACATGGTTTAGGTCTGGTCCCACATGACGTGGATTTTTAAAAATGTGTTTATGGTGTGTTCCAAACACACCCACACCACATCACCCCGCTTCTCCTCCAGCTTCACTGGCTGCCAGTCAACTTCAGGGTTCATTTCTAGATCCTGGTTCTGGTCTACAGGGCCTTACATGGACAAGCACCATCTTACATTGGTGATCTTCTTAGTCCCTACACCCCCAGCAGGTCCCTGAGGTCCAGTGATCAAAGTCTACTGGTTGTGCAGCACCAGGCTAAAGGTCAAAGGTGACAGATCATCTGCTGCTGTGGCCCCCAGACTCTGGACCTCTCTCCCCCTCAGCCTGAGATCAGTGGACTCAGTGGTCTCCTTTAAAAAGCAGCTGAAGACTCACTTGTTCAAGCTGGCTTTTGTATGACCTTCTTCACCTCTCTCTCTTTATTCTGCTCTCCCCACCTATTCCACCTTCCTCAGGATCCACTGGTTTCCCTATTTCCTGTTCACTCTCTCTCTTTCTGTACATTTTTTAATCACAATTGTCTATTTTTGCTCATTTTAAATATATTTCTAACCATTTTCTAAATTCTTTTTTATATTTTTACATTTTTTGTTTTTGTGAAGCGCCTCGTGATTTTTATCTTGAGAGGCGCCATAGAAATGATATTTTCTTCTTCTTCTTTATGGCCGAGTTCTCTAAAAATACTGATATGACTTCAGGTGTCGTTGACCGTTAAGTCCACAGTAAACCTGGTGATGGTTCAATTAAAGATTTTATCATTTCTGTTTGATTTATATTTATTTTACATTTGCAATTTGTTCTATTATACAAAATGCTCTTGTTTATCCTGTTTATCATCAAATAAATATATTTCTTCAGAGATTGAAAGGTCTCTGCTTTTTGCAGATGTGGTCCTGTTGGCTTCATCAGAACATGATCTCCAGTGTTTGCTGGAGCGGTTCACCGCTGAGTGTGAAGCAGCTGGGATGAGAATCGGCTCCTCTAAATCCCAGACCATGGTCTTGAGTCAGAAATGGGTAGAAGGCCTTCTCCGGATCAGGGACGAGGTCCTGCTTCAAGTGGAGGAGTTTTAAGTTTCCCAGGCTCTTGTTCACGATGCAGTTTCTAAACCCGACTCCCTCATAATCCGGTCAGAACTGACCAAACTTCTAAGATGAGAAGTGAAACGTCTTAAAGAAAGCAAAAGTTGCCTCCATCTGAGCCTCTCTGGGTTTCTTCAGGAGTGTGTGAGCTTGCTGACATCTAGTGGAGAAAGTCTAAATTTCTTTCAGAGCAGCATCTAAGATGGATCCGTGTATGGTCATGGACCAATTATTGTTGGCGACGCTAATCTAGAATATGTTCTAATCTAGGGGTTAGGGTGAGTTCAGTAATCCAATCAGCATCTCGCCCGGGGTTATCCAAGCTATGAGGACTAAAGTCATCAGGTCAAAAGCGTCCGTGGGCCAAAAATGTCATTTTATTTTGTTTTCAATGTGGAAACTCAAACTTCATCTTTCAGTGAACCTTTTGAACTCATGACGCTCTTTTTTTAAGTCCTGTACTTTATGAGGAGGCTTGAAGCAAGTCAGGCGGGAGGCTCGTTGGGTCTTTCTGCTTGGAAAGTGCTAACCTCAATCAGAAGGCATTCAGATTGTTCCAAACCAGCTTCCCGTGGACATTTGTGACTTACCACGGAAGGGAATAAATTCCTCTGTATGAGCTATTCAAATCAGCTCAGTGTTTTCATCCGACGTCCGTTATCCTGTCTATTTATGCAAATTATTCATGATCGCTTAGCAGATATCCATCCTGAAGGAAACCAGGAACTGGTTCACATGCATCTGATGAAGCTGCAACCATGTTGCTGTTGGGATTACTTCTCGGCTCCGTGGGTCTGCTCCGCTGCAGTTCGGACTACAACACTGGTCTGAACGCTGACGCTCCTGGGGACGTCATGAAGACTGCAACTGTAGTGAGTGAGTATGTTCTCTCTGAAAGAACACCACATACATGACTGAACTAATCCTCTGGAAGTTCATGTCTTCCATCCTTTTGTTACAGATATAATTTCCAGTTGTTCCTGCGCAGCCAAGTGATGATTTACGCCGCTGCAGACATCAACCAGTGCACACCGAGCCTGCTACCCAACCTCACTCTGGGTTACGATGTCTGGGAAACTCGTGCTGATGTCACCCTTGCCACTGGAGCAACTCTGGAGCTAATGAAGATCCAGTCAGACCCTCAAAGCTGTCCGGTACCCGAAAGCATCGATTCATCCTCATTTAAGCCCCAAATAAGCGTGGTCATCGGTGAGAGAGACTCGGAAGTATCTTCAGCGATTGCCCGGATTTTTGCCCCGACTTCGGTTTTCCAGGTTTGTGTTCCGTGTTCAGTCCCACGTCGGCAAAGGCTGATAAAAAAATACCAGATATACATATTTACAGTTTTGCTTTCTACAGGTTAGTTATGCATCAACCAGTGTCGTGCTCAGCAAGAAATTTATGTTCCCCACTTTTTCCCGGACTGTTCCCAGTGATGCGATTCAAACTGCAGCCATTTACAAGCTGGTCAGTGAGTTTAACTGGAAAACCGTGGCCATTGTGGGAAGCGACAGTGAATCCGGGAAGTACGGTAGCGATGGTCTTCAGAGCATCTTTGGTGAAAATCAGATCTGTGTTGATTTCTTTGAGGTTCTGTCTGGTGACTTTTAAAAAAATGAGAACGAGACCCAGAAAACTAAAGAAGCTGATGAGCCCTTTTAAAAACTCCACAGCTGAGGCCATCATCATGTTCACCCAAGAAACGTACGTTCAAGCAATCTTGAAAAATGCTATCAGAGAAAATCTAAACAGAACCTGATTCTTGGTCCACCGTCTCTGGGATCGAAGGCATCGAAAAGGTCGGGGAAGTTTGTGGATTCATCTGCGAGAGGAACGAGGTTCCTGGTTCTAAGGACCACGTCCACTCGATGTTCAATGGAACTACGAACAACTTCATTGATTATCACTGAAGTCATTTTCCACTTTGCCAAAGCCAGATGTGCCGCAGCTCTATGAACTGCACCAACCCAACTTGTTTGGCCTCCTTGGTTGACCAGGATGAATCCTACAGCATCTATCTGGCTGTGCAGGTCATCGCTGAAGGTCTCAGACGCGTACGGAGATGTGACGACCAAAGCTGTGCACGAACCTCATCTACAGCCTTAGAGGTGAAGATTTATCAATCACACTGCTGATTTTCTTAATCTTTAATTTAAAAGCATCCATGTGTTTTAGATTGTTCGGTTAGACAAGCGTGGATCTACAGCCAACTAAAACTTTGTGTTCACGTAAAACAAATCCATTCTAGCAGGTTTTCTGTTTGAAAGGAGACCATGAAAGGTTGTTTTCTGCATTTGGTGGTCAACATGGACGTAGTTTTGGGGAGGTGACATGCCCCCCTCCGTTTATTCCAAA